GTAAGTCAGTAGTATCCTAACGTGTTATTTCGATTCCATTAAAAAAAAAACGTAACAGGCCGATCCTCACTTACACTTCGCTTTTCACCTTTGCCGACGCTGCACATTGCACCTCCCTCTTAATTCGCCCATTGAAACACAGAGCATGGACACACCCCGGCTCGTCCCACTTTTCGCCGTGTTCGAATTCCTTGTTCATCACCTTTGAGAAGCATGGATCTCAGTCGCAAACGCCCCGCATACAACAGCCAGGGTACGGCGCCTTGGGGTCACCTGCCTCTATCCTGCATGGAGAGTCCGGTGGCGGATGAATGAGACGAGGGCAATCTATTTTATGAATTTTGCCGTTTATGCATGAAGCTCCGATGCAGTTTGGTTCAGTCCAAGTAGTACCATTCTTGACGAGTCCCCTAGTTTCTGAGAGGCATTGTCCGTGTTCGAGACAGGCGGTTGAGTAAGTGGGACAGCACAGCGGATACGGCTTGCCTGATTTTCCCCGTTTGCTCATGCCCAGTTTGCATCTGATGTTGGATGCCGCCAGCCGCAGACAGGATTCAACAACCTTCTTACCCTTGACGCACCTAACACGACGGCACGGGGGATCTGTCCACGAGTCGCCGTCTTTGTAAAATATCCCTGTCGCCTTGGAGAAGCACCGTGAGTCTTCCTTTGGACAGACGATTGTGTAGCAGCAGTCGGGGTACGGGGCGAACGGACGACCTGGTGCTACCCGACATCCCGGTGGAGGAAGGACCTGAGGACAGCCGAGAAAAGAGACCTTCCCCTTGTCGCACTGACCCTGCGTGCAGCCGGGCTCGGTCCACTTGTCGCCATCTTTGAAGTATCTGTGGAGTCCCGGTGAGAAGCAGGCGTTCTTCTTGGAGGCGACAGCGAGGGTGGCGAGCACCAGCAGGCACAGAGCCGATCGGGGCATGTTCATGGCGCGGCTTCCCGACACCGAGTGACATCCCCGGTGGTCCGAGGTATGTACTATGTACCCAGGGATGTCATGGGGACCGACACTAGCTCCGGGTCAGGGTGGAACAGACCTGTGTGGGCGGCGGACCGCACCGTCACTGCCGAGAGGCCAACTGTCAGTCGGCAAAGTGTTTCATCAGCTCCTGTCAACATCCTTCAAAACGCATGAAGTGCCTTGTTCGGCATGAAAAGGTCAAAAATGATTTATTACTATAACTTTTTTTTTAGTTGCATCATATTCTGCAGAACATCATAGGTCCGGATTCAAAGACATATGTAAGCACAATCGGCGATTTGCTAATTGCTAGTCATATCTGCTGCTCATTGTCCGAATGCCCTGTCTGCCCAGTGCTTCGTCCATTCGACTCCTCCATTTCATTTCTCACTGCTCAATCCACCCGGCACCCTCGCTGTCCCGTCCAGCCCGCCTGCGCCGCCCCATCCGCCCTGCTGTCCCATCCCGTCCTGCCAGCCCGCCGCGCTGCCCTGTCCCTGCAGCCCGCCTCACCGCCGCCGCCCCGTCCGCCCTTGCTGCCCCATCCCGTCCTGCCAGCCCTCCGCGCTGTCCTGTCCCACCCACCCGCCATCGCTGCCCGATCCGCCCTGCTGTGCTCGCGCTGCCCCGTCCCACCCATCCCTCCTCCGCCGCCCCGTCGTCACGGCGCGCCCCATTAGAGCCGACCACCGCGTCCGACCCCTTCAGCGACGCGCCGCCACCGACGACGCTCTCAATGGCTCAGTGATAATCCAGAACGGCGCCTTTCAGGCCGCTTCACGCCGCAGATGTATGGCGCATGAAAGTGCTTCAGCACCCCGTTATTTATATGAGGCGGCGGCGCTGGTGCGAAGACCACCCAGGCACGCGCGCGCGCGCTCCGTACCGACAGGTAGGCCGGTGATTTGCGGTGCTGTCGGCGCCGCGGTAATCTGCTCTCGGGGAACTCGCCGACTGGGGTAAGGGTAGGGCTCTTTTAGCTGTGTTGTATTTGTATTTCTACATCGATGAAAAACGGATTTGTACATACCTATCTTTCATTTCTAGGTAGGTAGACATAGCCCTCGGAGTCTTAGTTTCCGCATTTTGCATGTGAAAAATTTCGCCCCGCGCCCCGCTGGGGGGGGGGGCAGAATCTGCCCCCCTCCCGTTTTTCGCCAATTACTTCTAAACGCGTCACGCCAGCGACGTCAAACTTTCAGTACCTTATAATACATAAATTTGACACCTTCCCTAAAAATATGAGCGAAATCCGTCAGAATTTTTTTGAGAAAATGACGTTTAAATGACGTCATGTTCGCCATTTTCGCATCAAAAACGGCAAAATTTCAAACACCGCTAACATCTTCGTTTTGAATTAAAGGAATCAAGACGTAACAAAAAAGGTTATACGTGATTTTACTTTGTCTATCAAATGGCTTTCTCGGTTTTTTGAAAATTTTGGATTTTGGCTCAATTTTTTTTAAACGTTTTTTTTAATAATTGTAAAATTCAAAATTTTGAGTGTATAAAAAACGGAGTATATGTCAGAGAAGTGGTATATGTGCACCTACATACCAATTTTTAGAAGAATCGGTTCAAAAATGTGGGAGTTATTCAAAATTTTATGACGTCACGGCACACAAAATTTTTGAAAAATGAATTCGTTGGAAGTTCTAGATCTCGTACGGAAACAAAAATAGCACCATTCGATTCGCCGTGACAAACTGCATCAGATAGACACCTTTTTAGGCCTTAACAACCAACTTCAAAATTTGACCTCACTTGACCTGGCCTTGATCCCTGACCTCGGCCTGAAATTTATCCAGATGTGGTACATATCACTTATTGAGTGTGCCTATTGAATTCTATGAATAAAATGACCCATAAAACATGTGTCGCACATGCCCTTTTCTATATTTTGTTTTTGGTGACCTGACCTGACCTGACCTGACCTGACCTTGACCTTGACCTTCGAATGATACTGTATACAACGAATATTGTCTTGGTAGCCTAAGAACACGTTTTGGGCAATCAGTCTCAGTACATTCATCGGCGACTACGGTGCAAGGCTGATAATGTAGAAACTTGCATTTTGTACCCTTGACCTGACCTTGACCTGACCCGTCTGACCTACTAAAGCAAAAAAATTGAGCTCTTAAGATCCGCCTTGTTGAGAGCTTTCGATTGCCGTTTTCCCCGTCTTTCTACGACCATCGGTTCGGAAGTTAGACAGGGGGGGGGGCAGAATCTGCCCCCCCCCCCCCCCAGCAGGGCGCGTATGGCTGAATAGCCCAACGGGGCGCGGGTTAATGGGAGCCACATCCCTTCCCCCGTAATCAACTACTTGTGATGCATCCAGGTGACTGTCGTGGCACGTGCCACGTGAAAATTCAATGGCGTTCAATTCAAGCTGTTCCTCTGAAGTAGCTTTTTTAAGAGGTCTATGTCTCAACAACCACCGCACTGGGACGATTGACTTACGTAATTTTGTTGGGTAGTTGCATCCCTTCTACCAAACATAGGATACTCTCGATGCATGACGGTACGTACACGTACCAAATGCTCCCATTACAATAACTCGGCAATTACTGGAGCGATTGTGCTGAAACATGGCATGTGGGCAAAGGCACCCACCCGGGCAATGCATATCCATATGTCAACGGTTGGGATGCTGTTGCACGTGCGCACGTGCAGCGGTCGCTTCTAGATCTCGAGAATGGCTGGATCGATTGCGATCAAACTTGGCACATGGTTAGGGACCGGTGAGTACGGTCCCGGGCAAAAGTCAGATTTTCAAACTCAAAATTGATATTTATTAAGATACTATTTTAACCCGCGCGGGGCTGGGGTCTCCAGCCGAACGCGCGGGGCTGGGGGGGGGGGGGTAAATTTTACCCCCCTGTTATCTCCCGAACTAATGGTCCGATTTGGAAAATTCAAACGCCAATCGAAAGCTCTCATCACGAACTACTAAAAACATGTACTTAATTTAAAGTTTGAGGTCAAGGTCAAGGTCAGGTCAAGGGTACAAATTGCAAGTTTCTACAGTATCGGCCTTGCACCGTAGTTGCCGAAGCATGGAGTCATGGACTGAGACTGATCGCCCAAAACGTGTTCTTAGGCTACTAAGACAATATTCGTTGCATACAATATCATTCAGAGGTCAAGGTCAAGGTCAGGTCAGGTCAGGTCAGGTCACCAAAAAACAAAATATAGAAAAGGGCATGTGCGACACATGTTTTATGGGTCATTCTACTCATAGAATTCAATAGGCACACTCAATAAGTGATATGGACCACCTCTGGATGAATTTCAGGTCGAGGTCAGGTCAAGGTCAGGTCAAATGAGGTCAAATTTTGAAGTTGGTTGTTAAGGCCTAAAAAGGTGTCTATCTGATGCAGTTTTTCACCGCGAATCGAATGGTGCTATTTTTGTTTCCGTACGAGGTCTAGAACTTCCAAAAAAGTCATTTTTCAAAAAAATTGTGTGTCGTGACGTCATAAAATTTTGAATAACTCCCACATTTTTGAACCGATTCTTCTAAAATTTGGTATGTAGGTGCACATAGACCACTTCTCTGACATATATTCCGTTTTTTTCGATAGACTCAAAATTTTGGATTTTATAATGATTTTCCCAAAAAAGTCAGTTTTTTTAAAAAAAATTAGGCCAAAATCCAAAATTTTCAAAAAACCGAGATAGCCATTTGATAGACAAAGTAAAATTACGTATAACCTTTTTTGTTACGTCTTGATTCCTTTAAAAATGAAGATGTTAGCGGCGTTTGAACTTTTGCCGTTTTTGAGGCGAAAATGGCGAACATGACGTCACTAAAACGTCAATTTCTCAAAAAATTTCCGACGGATTTCGCTCAAATTTTCAGGGAACGTGTCAAATTGATGTAAGAAAAGGTACTGAAAGTTTGGCGGCGCTGCGCGCCGCCGTTTTTGAGATATCGCAAAAATTCGCGAGGGGGGGGGGTAAAATTTACCCCCCAGCCCCGCGCGGGTTAAGATACGGAAATTTTTGAAAACTGAGCTTCATGTCAGAGAAAAATTTATTGGCCTAACACATGCCTAAAATAAACAAAATATCTCCAAAATTGCCATAGATATAGCTAGTTGAAAGACTAGATATAGGCACGTCAGGAGATATAAAACTTCTGTCAGCGATCAGGCCAACTGCTATGCACATTATCGCCACTTGCGTCCTGGCACATGTCACTCCAAACGCTGTTCTTGACGTCATATACCTACCTCCAGCTGTCCCGCTATGGGACATGGCCTCGCGCGCTGACAGAGACACTTGTGTTTTCGGCGACACGCCGCTGCATCGTCGACCGGCACACGTCCAGGGAGCTGACGGGTGTCTTTGAGGCTCCGTCTCCGGACAGCGCGATGGACAGTCGGCACGGGACGGCGGACAGCCCGTCAGAGTCCTGCTGTCGCCGAGGGGGCCGGGGCACATCTGTGCCCGTCGGCGGTGTAGGATATAAGGCGGTCCGTCTCGGAGGGTCGGCATCAACTCACCATGAACCGTCTGCTGATCATCTCTTGCCTCGCCCTGGGCGTCGCCGTGGCCGAGCCCGGCCAGCCGCGGCAGGCGGTGCCTTACGGCGCTGAGGTCGATCCGGTGCCGTACGAAGAGGTGGTGCCGCTGACTCTGCAGCCGAGCCGCGCTGTACAGGTCCTCAACGCCGGGAACTACCGCTTCACCACGCCCAACTTCCCCAACCAGTACCCGAACAACCTGTGGGTGGCTGTCACCGTGCAGGGTGCCGAGGGCCAGGCCGTCAGCATCAGCTGCTCTCCCTTCAGTCTGGAGGCGTCCTTCTTCTGCTGGCGTGACTTCCTCTCCATCAACAACGTGCGCTACTGCGGCTCTAACGACGTGCCTACCATCACCGCGGCGCAGCTCGCCATCGAGCTCAAGACCGACTCGTTCGGCACGTCCAGCGGCTTCCAGTGCACCCTCACCGTGCCCCAGGTGGGTGGAACCACCACCCAGGCCCCGGGCACCACCCAGGCTCCGGGCACCACCCAGGCTCCTTCGACCGGCGGCTGCCGCTGCGGACAGCGCCAGACCGGCCGCGTGGTCGGCGGCACCGAGGCGGCCATCGGCGCCTTCCCGTGGCAGGCCGGCCTCGTCAGCCCCGGCGGCACCCGCACCTTCTGCGGCGGCAGTATCATCAACAACCGCTACGTGCTGACGGCGGCCCACTGCACGGCCGGCCAGACGGCCAGCGGCATCCAGGTCCTGCTCGGCGACCACAACATCGGCACGGCCGACGCCGGCGAGCAGCGCTACTCGGTCGTCCAGATCATCGATCACCCGCAGTACACGGACGCCTCGGGCAGCGGCTGGGACTTCTCGCTGCTCAAGCTGGACCGCGAGATCACCTACAGCAGCACCATCTCGCCCGTGTGCCTGGCCGAGGCCGGCCAGACGTACGCCGGCGCCACGGCCATCGCCAGCGGCTTCGGCCGTCTGGGCGCCACCAGCCCACAGGCCACCAGCCTGCAGCAGATCACTCTGCCCGTCTGGTCGCAGTCCGACTGCAGGCAGCGCTGGGGCACCACCATCAACACCAGCATGATCTGCGCCGGCGGCAAGTCGACCGGCGGCGAGGGCGTCTGCATGGGCGACAGCGGCGGCCCGCTGGTCACCGAGGTCTCGGGCAGCTTCCGTCTGATCGGCGTCGTCTCGTTCGGCCAGCCGTGCGCCATTGCCAACAGCCCGGACGTGTTCGCTCGCGTGTCGGAGGCGCTCACCTGGATCCAGTCCAACACGGCCGACGCACAGTACTGCAGCGCCTAGATCACGAGTCAACCCGACCTGCAATGATGACTACAGACCGTGCTCGGCAATTGTCCGTGTATCGACATACTGCCCGATTAGATCATCGAACATTTGCCGACTGTCATGAATTCGTTCAGATTTTTATGTGCTATCCTCTGCAAATTATTTGCCTTCAAGAGTGTTTCTTTCACCTGCTACGGTTTGAAGGAGGTGAAAACGACACCGCCGATGTCTGTTGATGTTTGCAGTGAAGTAGCTTGCTGAAGCTTTGTACTGAGCATATGTAGCTACTGGCAAACCCCCTCTTCATACGCTCTACTTCGCTGATTTGTTCTTCAATAAACTTTGACTTTTGAATTTTACGGCTTTTTCAACCACCAGACCCTCATTCTTGCCGACCAGACTGCTTGCTAAAAGGCGGAAACGAGAAACGAGATATACATATGACAAGCAGCGTTGCCAATAACCTCAACAGTTTTGAAGGCTGTTGAGCGATTAAAATGTTTATACCTATATTTTCGGCTGCTCAAGTGTCTGTTCTTTATTCTACTTATACCGGGTGGCCCAAAAAAAAAACGTTCCGAACTTTGGATGCCTATATCTCAAATTCGAGTGCAAATAACGAGCCAAAATTTTCATCAAGGTAGCGTCACTTCTTTGCGCATTGATATCCCAAATTATAACACTGTAACATCATTTTCAAGCCAGCAATCTTATGTTGAATTAAGTAACACGTTTTTGCTTTTTTTGCCAATGTTGAACGGCAGTAATGATTGGCTTAGACGTACCATGTTCGAAAAAAGAATGAAAACATAGAACACGTGAATGAAACCAGAACGTGTGTTGTTATTTTAAATATTTTTGTCCCACTTATGTGCCAAATATTCAAATACTGAGCCAAAATAGTGTTAATGGATGCCATTTGTTTTAACAAGTCCTGTTTCGAGCAGGAGTGGCACGGTGCATGGGTTACTGCTGATCGCCCTCCCTTCAAGAAGATCAACTACTTATCGACCGAATAAGGAAAAAAAGCTAGAGGGAATGTGTCACCCTGAGGCCTGAACCATCAACGAGACTAGTTGCCAATAGCAGTCATGGCTGCAGGCCGTGGTGCCGAGATGGAAGTGGCCCGTTCACTCATATTTTTTAGTAAAAATCTGAGCAAAAAAATAATTTTTACATGGCATGCTAGAAACACGAACCATTTAAAAAGTAATTGACCGAATAACATAAAAATCATACCATTTACTGAAAATGTATGCCGCATTGACTATTGGAAGTTTCAATGTTGTATCTTCATCACTTTCTGAGAAATATTGATTTAAAGTTGGGAACGTTTTTTCTGGGCCACCCGGTATATGATCTCATTTTCGATGAAAGCACACATTCTTGCAATTTTCCGCTACAGTATTGAATGGTGGCACTCCACTTCTATTTGACAGCCATAAAGAAAGGTATTTATCTTTATCTATTTTGCACTGGTTCGGCGCTCTATTGCAAACCAATTGCATTGCCGATGATAGTAACTGCCAAACTGTCGTTTTAACCCTCGCCCGTAAACGGCGATCTGCCACCTTCGCCCATGCAGGGGGGGTTGGTGCGACCCCCCTTGGCGTTTGAAAACGGAGCGTCGTAGAGCTTAGCGGAAAAAACCAACGGATTGCTCTCGCCGAGATCTCGCGATTGGTGGTATATTTTTTGGTCCTAGGTCAACATTTGACCTACTTTTGACCGGTCAAAGGTCAAATTTTCGGAAAAATAGACTTTTTTCAACTTTCGGCGGCGATTGCGGCAAAACGGTGGGAGATATCGACTTGAAACCTTCACTATCGTGTTCCTTGATCAATTCTCTATCGTTTGGTATGTATTTCGTTTCCCTAGCTCTAAAAATGGCGCGTTGGGAGCGCCGGAAGTCGGCAAGGTCACAGTCGGCGGCAGAAATTCGAAAAATCAAAATTTAAATTTTTGAAATCTGATTGTATTTTTGGATTTGGGAGGTCCATTTGCTCCCTATAGAAGCTAATATTGCTGCATATTCCCATTGAGGTGACAAGAATTAGCAAAATAGTGGTTCGGGCGCTTTTCAAAAATAGTACCGGACGCTGTTCCTCTTGTGACGTCATAGCTCCGTGACCTGACCTGACCCGGTCAAGTTTCTTATACCATATGATAGCCAATACTTGCCCCAACATGCATGGGAAGTTTCATCACGATCCATCAACCGATGTCCGTACCACCGGCAGGAAACCTCGGGCGTTGGCACTCAGTTTGTGAAAATCCGGCCGGAGGCTGTTCCCTTTGTGACGTCATAACTCCGTGACCTGACATGACCCGGTCAATTTTTTTTATCAAAAGATGCGCAAGGTTTGCCCCATAAGGTACCCAAAATTTGGCGGCGCTGCGCGCCGCCGTTTTTGCACTATTTCCGAAAAGCCTCAGGGGGGGTTGCACCAACCCCCCCCCCCCCTACATGGGCGAGGGTTAATGTACCTCGTCTCGATGTGGGCGGGCGCCATCGCCACGACCTCCGCTGACGGGCGAAGATTGGTCCGACGTCCCCGGCAGACGCGCTGTCACTTCACGACAATCAACATACAGTCCAGTACAGATTGATCGATAGGGCGTAGGGACTCTTTATCAACCGGTTACCGAAGTCTGAGATCTCAGCTCTAGACAGCCGCTTGGCACCGGAAGACTGCTCTGCGTGACTGAGAGTTTAGCGGCTTAGCATATCCACGCTGTACAACACCGTCCCGGGTCGCCGGATGAAGCGTTTTGGAGGTCGGCCGTGATGTCAGCATTGCAGGGGTGCAGAGCCTTGGTAACCTTGCTCGGCTAAGCGGCTGGCGCGGGCCGGAGAGTGGTTAGGCGTTAGGAGAGGTTAGGAGTGGTTAGGAGAGTGGTTAGTGGTTAGACCTAGGCGTGGGCCAAAGAGTGGTGTGGGACGTAAGCGTATAGACTAGGGATATTGGGTGAATTCGGTCACTGTCGCACTGCACTGCTCACGGTCGATCTACAAAACGTTCCGCCCGGCGACCCGGGACGGTGTCAAACGGTGCTGTTAGACTGTGCCGCTTAACTCTTAAGTTATGCGGCGCAGTCTACCAGCACCAGGCGGCTGCTGTCAGTGCTGAGGCCTTAGAAGGTAGCCGGTGCAGAGGATAGAGTCTCTGTCGATCAACCTATAACCGGCTCTACCCTTCCCCACCCCTTCCCCTCGCCCGGGGAGGATCAATAATAGTGTATAATTATTTGTCCAACTTGGACCACGCGACTCGTCTCAGACATCCGACATCTCCGGTATCAGGAGGGGCTGCGCAGGCTTCAGCTGACGTCCCTGCTTTATAGAAGGCACAGAGGAGACGTCATCATGCTCTACATTCTCATGACTGGCCTTCTGAACCTATAGAAAGAAGACTTTTTCCAGGCTGCTCCCTCGGCAAGCACAAGATGTCATCCCATGATAAGGTGGCCAAACCAAGAGCCCTGACCAGAGCACGAATAAACCAACCGAGTTCGAGCTAAAAGTACCACATGAGCTCGATGAGATTGGGTCGGATGGGCCTCTGGCCTCCAATAGCCCCCGGCCAGCATTAACCCGCGCCCTGCTGGGGGGGGGGGGGGGATACGCGCCCTGCTGGGGGCAGATTGTCTAACTTCCGAACCGATGGTCGTAGAAAGACGGGGAAAACGGCAATCGAAAGCTCTCAACAAGGTGGATCTTAAGAGCCCATTTTTTTGCTTAAGTAGTTCAGAGGTCAAGGTCAGGTCAAGGGTACAAAATGCAAGTTTATACAGTATCGGCCTTGCACCGTAGTTGCCGAAGAATGGACTGAGAGTGATTGCTCAAAACGTGTTCATAGGCTACCAAGACAATATTCGTTGTATACAATATCATGCAAAGGTCAAGTTCAAGGTCAGGTCAGGTCACCAAAAACGAAACATAGAAAAGGGCATGTTCGACACATGTTTTATGGGTCATTTTATTCATATAATTCAATAGGCACACTCAATATGTGATATGGGCCACATCTGGATAAATTTCAGGTCGAGGTCAAGTCAAGGTCAGGTCAAGTGAGGTCAAATTTTGAAGTTGGTTTTTAAGACCTGAAAAGGTGTCTATCTGATGCATGTTTTTCACGGCGAATCGAATGGTGCTATTTTTGTTTCCGTACGAGGTATAGAACTTCCAAACATTCATTTTTCAAAGAAAATTGTGTGTTGTGACGTCATAAAATTTTGAATAACTCCCACATTTTTGAACCGATTCTTCTAAAAATTGGTATGTAGGTGCACATAGACCACTATCTGACATGCAATCCGGTTTTTCGATACACCAAAAATTTGGGATTATATAATTATTTTACCCCAAAAGTCAGTTTTTTTTTAGAAAAAAAAACCAAAATCAAAAATTTCAAAAAACCGAAATAGTCATTTGATAGACAAGGTAGATTCACGTATTACCTTTTTGTTACGTCTTGATTCCTTTAAAAATGAAGATGTTAGCGGCGTTTGAATTTTTGCCGTTTTTTTAGGCGAAAATGTCGTGACATGACGTCACTTATGTAAACGTCCCTATCTCAAGAAAAAATCGACGGATTTCGCTCAAATTTTCAGAGAACGTGCTAAATTGATGTCAAATTGAATGTGTTAAATTGAACTGGGGGCGTTGCAAAGTTGCAACATTTTTGGACTGTGCATTTGCAAAGGGTCACTTGTGATATCATATGACAGCGGTCTGATCTGATTAAAAAATATAGGTAGGTAATTGGACGTTGGTATCAGGTACAAAAGCTAGCTTGAATAAAATGTAATAGGCATGCCAGCTTTTAGCTCACTATCGCTAATGGCAACGCGTCCCTAGACCCGAGCCATCGCGAAAAAAACGTCAGGAGAGATAAAACTCTACGCGATCTGGCCAACTGTCATGCACATTGCACATTATCGCCACTTGCGTCCTGGCACATGTCACTCCAAACGCTGTTCTTGACGTCATATGCCTACCTCCAGCTGTCTCGGCTCAAGCGACATAGCCTCGCACGCTGACAGAGACACTTGTGTTTTTGACGACCCGCCGCTGCATCGTGGACCGGCACGCGTCCAGGGAACTGACGGGTGTCTTTGAGGCTCCGTCTCCGGACAGCGCGATGGACAGTCGGCATGGGACGGCGGACAGCCCGTCAGAGTCCTGCTGTCGCCGAGGGGGCCGGGGCACACCTGTGCCTGTCGGTAGTAGGATATAAGGCGGTCCGTCTCGGAGGGTCGGCATCAACTCACCATGAACCGTCTGCTGATCATCTCTTGCCTCGCCCTGGGCGTCGCCGTGGCCGAGCCCGGCCAGCCGCGGCAGGCGGTGCCTTACGGCGCTGAGGTCGATCCGGTGCCGTACGAAGAGGTGGTGCCGCTGACTCTGCAGCCGAGCCGCGCTGTACAGGTCCTCAACGCCGGGAACTACCGCTTCACCACGCCCAACTTCCCCAATCAGTACCCGAACAACCTGTGGGTGGCTGTCACCGTGCAGGGTGCCGAGGGCCAGGCCGTCAGCATCAGCTGCTCTCCCTTCAGTCTGGAGGCGTCCTTCTTCTGCTGGCGTGACTTCCTCTCCATCAACAACGTGCGCTACTGCGGCTCTAACGACGTGCCTACCATCACCGCGGCGCAGCTCGCCATCGAGCTCAAGACCGACTCGTTCGGCACGTCCAGCGGCTTCCAGTGCACCCTCACCGTGCCCCAGGTGGGTGGAACCACCACCCAGGCCCCGGGCACTACCCAGGCTCCGGGCACCACCCAGGCTCCTTCGACCGGCGGCTGCCGCTGCGGACAGCGCCAGACCGGCCGCGTGGTCGGCGGCACCGAGGCGGCCATCGGCGCCTTCCCGTGGCAGGCCGGCCTCGTCAGCCCCGGCGGCACCCGCACCTTCTGCGGCGGCAGTATCATCAACAACCGCTACGTGCTGACGGCGGCCCACTGCACGGCCGGCCAGACGGCCAGCGGCATCCAGGTCCTGCTCGGCGACCACAACATCGGCACGGCCGACGCCGGCGAGCAGCGCTACTCGGTCGTCCAGATCATCGATCACCCGCAGTACACGGACGCCTCGGGCAGCGGCTGGGACTTCTCGCTGCTCAAGCTGGACCGCGAGATCACCTACAGCAGCACCATCTCGCCCGTGTGCCTGGCCGAGGCGGGACAGACGTACGCCGGCGCCACGGCCATCGCCAGCGGCTTCGGCCGTCTGGGCGCCACCAGCCCGCAGGCCACCAGCCTGCAGCAGATCGCTCTGCCCGTCTGGTCGCAGTCCGACTGCAGGCAGCGCTGGGGCACCACCATCAACACCAGCATGATTTGCGCCGGCGGCAAGTCGACGGGCGGCGAGGGCGTCTGCATGGGCGACAGCGGCGGCCCGCTGGTCACCGAGGTCTCGGGCAGTTTCCGTCTGATCGGCGTCGTCTCGTTCGGCCAGCCGTGCGCCATCGCCAACAGCCCGGACGTGTTCGCTCGCGTGTCGGAGGCGCTCACTTGGATCCAGTCCAACACGGCCGACGCACAGTACTGCAGCGCCTAGATCACGAGTCAACCCGACCTGCAATGATGACTACAGACCGTGCTCGGCAATTGTCCGTGTATCGACATACTGCCCGATTAGACCATGGAATATTTGCCGAATGTCATGAATTCGTCCAGTTTGCTTTGTGCGATCCTCTGCCAATTGTTTGCCTTCAAAAGTTTTCCTTTCATCTGCTACGGTTTGAGGGAGGTGGAAACGACACCGCTGATGTCTGATGATGTTTGCAGTGAAGTAGCTAGCTGGAGCTTTGCATCGAGCATAGCTACTGGCAAATCCCTCTTCATACGCTCTTCTTCGCTTATTTGTTCTATAATAAACTTTATGACATTTAAATTTCACGGCTTTTTCAACCACCAGACACTCACCCTTCCCGACCATTCGGCTCGCTAAAAGACGGAAACGAGAGACCAGATATATGACAAGCAGCGTTGCAATAACCATCAGAAAGCTGTAGGGGAGATTGCGCCACCTTAGGATATCGGCCTATTGCGGCTCAAGTTGACCAGCTGCCATGCTTGATGATATCTCAAATTGTACTTCAGTTATTTTGGCATCAAATAACAACTCCCAATTTGCATCACACTCAGAAAAATTAACAAGAGAAAAGTTTTCCGACACACCAGCAAAGGGCGCATTTACGGACTCCCCCATCAAAAAGCGCCCATGCCTCTCATGTAAAAGCGCCCTATTAAAAACAACGGTTTGCCACCTAACTAAGTAGCCTATTTGAACATGTCAGCCCATTAACCTTTTATGCTGTGAAGGCTAAGGTAATGGTAAGGTGAGCGCTCTAATGATCAAAGTGTTCAATGAAATGTCTCCCAACCACCAGATGCTGTTTCTCTGGGTTGAAGAATGGGGCGCAAATAGGGTGGGCGCAATTACGAATGGAACACATTTTCCATGAGCTTGAAATATGGCGGCGACAGCGAAGCCCAGTGGTGATAAGCTTTCAAAACTGCCATTAAACGAACAATTGTCAATTAACAATGATAATTAGTTGAATCACTATCTCTAAGATAAACCATGACACTAGCAAAGGTCGAAATAGACTGTTTCGCGTAAGAAAATAGAGAAAATCACAAAAAATTGCCTGCGAGAAAGCTGAGACACCTCACCTTCCCCCGTGGACCGGAAGAAGAGCGAGTTATTGGTGGTGAAGTAAATGCACAGTGCACACTTTCGAGTATTCGTTCGAATCGTATTTTGGGCAGGAGGAAGGCGTGGCGCATTTAAGAACAGGGCGCAATATGACTTCTCTCCCCTACATACTGTTGAGCGATTTTATTGTCTATATTTACGGCTAGTCAATTGTCTCCGTTCTACCTATGCCTACATACCTACCTATATGGTCCCATTTTCGACGAAAGCATTTCCCGCTACATTATTGAACGATCGCATCCCAATATTGTTTGATTACTTTATTTATTATTTAATCGTTTTGTGCCACTGCTCCATCTTTTCCATCCTCCCAGCCCCAGGACAATCACATCTGCTCCTCCGCACCTTATCCCCCTGGTTCCGGGCTGGACGGGCAAGTGGCAACTTTATCCCATTCGGGTAGCTCCTATATAGGAGCACGCCTTTAGCCAGGTGCAGTAAGTGTTATGGGGGCTGGGTGGCCTGTCCAGGTCTCAGCCCCGATGACTCACTAGGGTGCCCACTGCCAGTGCCCGCCCAGATCAATGTCTCCCCCTAATTACAAATCCTTCTGGCTCTGAAATGGTTTCGTCGGACCGAAAGAGCCTAACCTTACAAAACAAACAAAAATTAGGCCATTCTATGAGACATGAGGGTCGAGGGTGGTCGAGGGAGGGGGTATTGGGCTGAGTCGACGGGTGCACCACAGCGGCTGATTGGCACGGGAGTGTCCTGGTAGAATTGATCGTCCACTCAAAATAACACTCCGGAACGATGATCGGGTTGACTTTGTGTGCGAGTGAGTCGACGAATGGAGTCGACCCGTCCCTAACCGGTTGTGTGGGTGGGTGACGGCCGGTACAGATAAACGTGAGAAAGCGGCTGAGAATTGCTAGGACGGATCAGCCCGTGGACATGTGAGTGACATGTCCTTCCGGTTCATTCCGGTCGGCCACAGCGCAGCGTCAGCGCCTTGGTCACTGCCTTGGTTGCAAGACGAGGGGGCGCCAGGTCAGCGGCAGTGCGGTACTGCTGCTGCCATCTATGATTGGAGCGGCCAACTGCAGCGCCGGGCCGTGCAGCCGTGTTTATTTTGGTCGGCCGTCCCACGGCGAAAGTTGGCCAGACACGCGACAAATAGCTGTGTCGCCATCGGTGTTTGTTTTGAGAGGGTCTACAGGGGCGACGATGGCTGATCTGCCACCAAAGTCAGATGGGGGTGGGGGGGGGGGGGGGGAAGGCGGCGACCGCATTCAGATCATCAGCTCGTGTACCTATGGGTGGACGGTGAAGGACAGTGACGTCTGATAGTGCATATTCACAGATCACTGATCACACGATGTGACATGAGCTCATCCATCTTTTATACCCTCAGGATCAGCTTAGCTAATCTTTGACCACATATCCCATTTCCTGGGCTGATGCCTGTGTTAGGTCAGTACGTTTCGATAACCTTATGTCGGCAGAAGGAACCAGGAGGTATCTTGTGCTGGATTCATGGCCAGGGCTTGATAGCTTCTAAGGTGAACTACACCTTAGAAGCTATTAGTTGAATTTGCAGCGCTTCATCGACCGGTACCGTTTGAATGCAATGCTCCGGCTCTGAGTTTTGTTTTGACGCATAGACGACAAACTTTTACTCCTGAATTGCTTATCACTCATAGGACGCACGGACTGTCTATCCACTGTGATAAAACTCACACATATCCACTTTGTATAACATCGATAGATATGTGATATATAAGTGCTTGCATGTAATCGATAAATATAAATGTATTTAAACTCATTAGCAGCCCAGCCCCGTGTGTTTGTGCCTTATCATAACATTGACGGTACGCTGCAGCGTGTGCTGACCACGAGCGCCCCCCCCCCTCCCCCCGCCGCGTCCGTCCGGCGCGGCGGTCGGTCTCGGTATCGTCGGAGTCGGCTGTCGGAGCAGGCGCAGACGGCCTGTCCCATTCGACCGCCGGCCGCGGCACTCAGTTCCACCGGGTCAGTGGGCGCGAGGCGTGGGTGTGCTCCGCCTACTCCGGGTGGAGAGGTGACAGTGAGTGGCACGGGGACCGCTGGTGGAGACAGGACGGTCCGTGCTTGTGACCGTGATTCGTGAGGTCGTGACAAACCGTGAGCCGTGACTGGGTGCCGTCTAACGGCAGGACTGTGAGGCCAGCGGCGGTGACCTTGTGAGGCGCACTGAGGGTGCAACGTGCCGATCGCTCGAGCAGTGTATGTGAGGTGATAAAGCTCGGAGGTCCTGGTCCAGGCGTGCTCGGGTCGCACTTTGTTCTCGTGTCAGCTCTGCGTCGGAGTGGAGCTGAGGAGACTGACAGCTGATTGAGTCGTACGGCCTCTGTGGGAGCGGAAGCGGTGACGGCGACGTTGGCGGCGGGGGCGCATCGATTGCTCGGCCCGAAACAGAGCGCGGCCGACTGGCACACAGAGGAAACGGCCGCGACGCCCAGAGAAGAGACGTGCGGCGCAGAGAACGGAGGACTGGAACAGGGAGATCGGCAGTGCGGCACACGGAGAGAACGGCCGACTGACTCAGAGCGCGGCCGACTGGCAGACAGAGGAAACGGAGGACGGACACGGAGAGTACGGCCGGTTGGTACAGGAAGGAAACGCGACGCATGTTCTAGAGACGACGAGAGTAGTCGACTGATATATTTTCAGGCCGAAGAAAACAGAGAGACACACGAACGCTACTGCAGAATAACATAGTTAATACGCACTAAGGTAACACAAGGATCGAGTCTTTGTGACACCGTACGGCTCATAGAAGAGGAAGAGATGGAAAGAGACGAATCAGAATAGGACACAACAACGAGTGATTTGTGACGAGGATACTCCGTGTGTTTAGGTCAGTGGAGGACACGCCCGTCGGGCCGGGGCGCGAGGACGGGAGGTCTGAGGAGTGCTGAGGAGGACATGTGACTGGGCCGGCCGCCGCGTGCCGAGGGGCCGGGAGTGGTCACCATGCCACCGCTGCTGGTGTGGCTGGCCAGCGCTGTGCTGGTCAGCGTGCGCTGCCAGGAGGCGCTGGTCACGGTGACGGCGCTGGGCCGCAGTCTGACCAGCATTGACCAGCTGCGTGCGCGCTACCTGCCCATGGGCCCCGTCATGGAGGTGGAGGGAACGCTGCTCGAGGTGAGCACAAAAGACACCGTCCGCGAGCCGAGAACAAACATCACTGCGAAGTGCAAACAGACAGCATTGGGATCGGTCTCACAGGCTTCGATATCCCTCATGGTTCAATGTTCATGGCCATTGGTCATGGGCTGACATTGGACATTTATGTTCCAAGTAACATTCATCCAAAAAAGTAACAGTCATCCACACAATCAATTATGCGAAAGAAAGCAATATTTGAGCTCTTCCCACCTCCCAGATACTGATACCATTCTCTCCCCCCCCCCCCCAAATGTCAATCATTACTTTTTGATTTGTGGCCTTCAAACTTTAGCCAAATTTATTGAGGTACGTATGTACGTTGAGGGAAGCATAAGACAAGAGTTAACCAAAGACCATACTTCAAATAGGTTTCATGTCGATGAGAATAACGTGATGCCTTATATCATACCCTTAGTAATATCTTTTCATTTACTTATGCTTTATTTTTGCCTGTTCGAGGGGCCTTTGTTTGCCCTTAAAACTCTCGTAAAAAGAGCGTCGTTTCCCCGCAGGCACCGATCAATAATTTGATTCTGAAAGCGATGTAGTGGGCGGCTCGGCGTACTGCTGAGTGGTCGCCTATGGCCGACTTTGTGGCTGTTTCCGGCGACCTTGCAGACTCGGGATCTCATTAGGACCGAGGGAGACGTGTCGAGCAGATGGGAGGAGGGGAGGAGGAGGAGGAGGAGGAGAAGGAGGAGGAGGAGGAGGAGGAGGAGGAGGAGGAGGAGGAGGAGGAGGAGGAGAGGAGAGGAGAGGAGAGGAGAGGAGAGGAGAGGAGAGAGAGAGAGTGACAGAGAGAGAGAGAGAGAGAGAGAGAGAGAGAGAGAGAGAGAGAGAGAGAGAGAGAGAGAGAGAGAGAGAGAGAGAGTACGGCGAACCGGTAGCACTTGCCTCTATGTTTGCCAAAAACCGGATACACTACGGCGAACCGGTAGCACTTGCCTCTATGTTTGCCAAAAACCGGGACTCCTCAACCAGGAATAGAAATACACGTCAGGATAACCTTCTCCAGCTCCAGCGTCCCAGACTAGAAACCGGTAAGCGGCGTTTCAGTTACCGTGCCGCCGAGCTCCTAAACGACCTACCTCCCGACCTCTCACAGCTGCCACCCTCTAAATTCGCACGCGCTGTCAAGTCTCTGTGGAAAAACGATAGACCTTCGTGATGGCCTGAATTAGGCACTCGTCTTGTATGTATATAAGTACCTACACGGTATGTTAGAAATCGTAGCATATAGAGTCTTCCTGTGTGTGCGTGTATGTGTGTGTGTGTGTGTGTGTTGTTGTTGTTCGACTGGTCTCTGTTCCTGCATGCTTATACCCGACTCAGACTCTGGGCAGTAATCGCCACGCCATGTGTGGATCGCCCATGATCGTAAATACAATACAATACAATAGAGAGAGAGAGAGAGAGAGAGAGAGAGAGAGAGAGAGAGAGAGAGAGAGAGAGAGAGAGAGAGAGAGAGGGAGGGAGGGAGAGAGAGAGAGAGAGAGAGAGAGAGAGAGAGAGAGAGAGAGAGAGAGAGAGAGAGAGAGAGAGAGAGAGAGAGAGAGAGAGAGAGAGAGAGAGAGAGAGAGAGGTGTGGCGGGAAGCGGGAAGATAAAAACTGTGCCATTGCGATACCTGTTAAGGTACGTGTTTGGTCTAGATAGCCTACAAAATGCAAGGTTATTAATGTCTAAAGATGGTGCAAGATAGAACTGGGATGATATTCAAGCTGTCATTCAATAAGTGTCAGCATTTAGCTGATATGTCTCGGTTCCATTGTCAGTTACGCACATAGTTAGTTACGCACTGCTTTCGCGCCTAAGCAAAACGAGAACCGTTTCGAACTTAATCGCTGTATTTACGAGAGCCTTTGTTCCTAAATCCTTAGAACGTAGAATGGTGTTCTTTACCAACCGTGACACCTGAAAAGAAAATTGAGGCCCGGAAACTTGCGTCCATAAGTTTCAGTGTCGTTATGGCGCATTATCCAGCGGTAAAGTTGTGTTACCTTTGAATAATATAACGCGATACGATACGAGCACAGTTATGGTTGCATGGTTGCATGTTTATGTTATCATCAGCGCCAACCTTTAAAAGGAGTAGGATTAGGAAGATTTCATTTTCAGTCAAAAAAATAAATGAAATCGATGACGCTTCATTTCATTTAGACATCAATAAATCACCGGCATCATTAACTTATAAAAGATAAAAATGGCGTTATGATACCATTATCATTAGACCTAAAATCACGAAAAATGATATTCTACTGTGGCTGTATTTAAAATTGGTTGAACACTGCAATGCATGTGAGACAGACGACACTGACAGTGCATAGTGCACTTGCACTTAAAAGGCTTGTGCATTGTGGAATAATATAATCACTGGTTCACACATCGACGTGCAGCATTATAGCGAGCTACAATGCTCTTCGGAACGGTGACATACTCGTATAGCGGCACAGTATTTTTGCGAAAATGGTGGTTGTTTTGACCAGCGCCGGGTCGGTACTCGGCGAAGAGCTGGGGGTATTTGAACCCCTCCGTCCACGTCGGCTCCATGGGCCACGTTATAGTTACACGCGGTAAACGATGCTCCAAAGAATGTCAAAAATCATGAAGAAAGTACTTCGGTCACTTGCAACGTCAAGTCAAAGGTCAAGGTTACCAGAGATCATCAAAGGTCAAGTTTCGCCCATTTCGACACTTCATGACAAATCGGCGCATAACTCAGAAACGAATAGAGATTATATAGTGCCGCTGAAAATCGCAATCGCCACTTCTTCAGTGGAGCATTTAAGATGGGGTCACAATGAGAGGTCAATGAGAGGTCAATGAGAGTCCAAATAAAATAGGTGGTATGCACGACCGAAGGTGCTCGCTGCTCCCTCAGCCCTGACAACGGCTCCGTCTAAATTAGCCACTGCTTGTCGGGCGGGGATGTACAGAGCTAATAGCTTCATATTCGGGCCATCGATTGTGGCTTGGTCAGCCCCGCTATCGAGCGGTGGACATAGTCATGGCTGGCTTCGCGACCTCGCCACATTCAGGCAAAGGCCATGGGACGTTTTACCGACGTCACCGAACGCCAGTTGCCATGTGAGACTTAGCTGCTGTGATGTGTTCGTTTTTAGATCGCAGGATACTACTAACCTTTCCGCTGCTCGCTATTCATGACCGGGATACCTCAGCGATATGCCATACATCGCATGTTGAAGACACAGCAGGCTTCAGGTAATGGTTGGATTACGTGTTTGTGTAATGTGTTGGTACCATTCTTTCAGTCCGGTATCGACAAACTATGTTTTGTTGGACTCTGTTTCTTTTCCCGATAACGACCTACGTAATGGTCGAGTGGGCCCTCTCGAGAATTCCAGGTCCAATGTCGGACAAAAAGCTCAGAGGCCAGAGCACTGCTGACAACATCAAAATAGTTAAATAATTAAAGATACCATATTATAGAAGCCAAAATAAAGGAAGTATGATACTCGAAAGACGAAACCGTCTATCGTCCAGTCTAAGTCAACTCGGATGTGAAACTAGCGCAGGCTGGTGCTTTCGCTGACTTTGAGCGTAAAGTTCTATCTGTTTTTTTTTTTTTAGGATGTGAAATTCCACAAATTATATACCTACCACTATTATTTTTTATGCACATTTAGCTACACAGGCTAGACACAGTGCTCAAGTCTAGCATAAGCGTTTTCATAAGTTGGATAAAACCCATTATCATTCAAACCTAAGGCCCTTAACGTACATCGTAGGCGTAAAGGATACCTATAATGCAATGCCACTGTCATGAACAATGAACGTATGTACATACCGACGCACTTTTTTTACCTCGACGCGTTTTTTTTCAAACCCCATATCTGTTCTCCCGACAAGTTGGAAAGGAAATTTCAAAAAAGGTACAGTCACTCGGTTTTTTTCAAGTTTGCCTGTCGTGGCAGATCAAGCAATGCCAGAACCAGCTTACGAACACATATATTTGATCAGGATCGGATAATTGGACAGTTTTTGAAAGGGATCTTTCGTGCTTCCCGGAAATGCACGGGAGAACAGGTGTGAGGTTTGGAAAAAACGCGTCGATATGTCAGCATAAACGTACCGTCATACATTTAGTTTCATACCAGTGGCATCAGTGTCTGCTTTGTGGGATGGTTTGATCTTTCGGACTCCCACACATCCCCTGCATATCTTGTTATCCCTTTTGTGACAACCTTTTATGACCTCTTGTGACCTCATGTTACCTTTTGATCTAATGTGACCTTATGTGACCTCATGTGACCTCATGTGACCCCATGTCTGCCTCAGGTGCGGAGCGTGAACCTGTGTCGGCCGGGCGAGGCGGCTCTCCAGCTCCGACCCCATCGCTGGATCCCGCTTCTGAGGCTGGAGCCGCCCACCACCCAGCCCAGCGTCTGTTCATCGGCCCGGAGCCAGGTCAGTTAGACCGAACTCGGTCCGAGAGCAGTCCCAGATCAGCTTTAATTAGCCCGAGTGGCCCGAGATAGGTAGTAAGCATTAGTCCGGGGTTAGCCAAAGGTCCATCGGAGCAGTCTGGGGAGGATAATCCTAAGCCAGTCGGACTGGCCCATGGGGTTAGCCTGAAATTAGTCCGTGGTTGGTCCAGTATTACTTCGCGGATCAGTCGCAGTACCGATGATGCATCACACTGGTATCTGGTACTTACATATCGGTTACATAACAACGACACACAATGACACATACCGGCGGACTGAGTACAAGCACACGAGTAGCGATCTCACTCACACACCGCGGGCGAGCGGCTCAAGCGCGTATAAAGTCTAACGGCCGGCACTTTGGTAAAGAGTTCAACTTTTGCCTGACCTCAGTCGGAATTAGGCTGGTTCAAGGTCAGTGCGAGATTAGCCGGGACAAGTCAGTGGCCTTTGCGAGATTAGCCCGAGTTTTGTCGAGTTTGACACGGCGCGAAAAACAAGAGTCAGTCGAATTTAGATGGGGCCAAACCCAGGGAATAACCCCAACTTGGCCTGAGCTCGGTCCAAGAAGGGCTTCTTCAGATAAATAAAGTATCAGCTGCTCTCTCAGGTCTAGCTTCGTCCGATATATCCACACGGTCGTCAGTCTAAAGATATGTCTGAGATAAAATTTGGACGCTGCTGAGAGAGCTGGCAGACGTCTTGGATACATTCCAGCCTCCGCTCGTATACCGTTCAGGTCCCGCTGCTTAGGCGAGGGCCAGGCGGATTAGATGCTCTCAGTTTAGACCTGCCTGATATGTATCGGTCACGGTACCTATAAACGAAGCAATGATTAATTGATCATCCGATGGATTAAAATGGTATCCCGACGCTATAGCCGCCTCCAAGGCTCGAGAAGCTATGCGGACGTGTGTATCAATGTGAAAGATACAGAATGATTAGGTTAAGGAGGTTGTTTGACGCACGCATCCACCAATCCTTATAAAACTTTATACCTAAGCTAAGTTTGAAGTAGAGACTCCTGGTAGCATGTCTCTATAACTGACCTTTCGTCTCTAGACTGTCCATTTGTAGATCCCATCTCGCCAGAGGCGGATCCAGCTCCGAGTTTTTTTTTGGGGGGGGGGCAAACCATAACAATTTATCGATTCTTTCCATGCCTCGTCCATAGGCGTAATGTTAAAATTATGCCGTTTGGGGGGGGGGCAAATGCCCATTTTGCCCCCCCCCCCTGGATCCGCCACTGCATCCCGCCATGTCCATGAGAGGACGCGTAGTGGGTATACGCTGCAAAGTGCACCGGAATACCGAGTACATGCAGATGAACCGAGTCTGTTTCGTCTGTCATCTGTAACAACAAACAGTGAATGAATTACCAGCGCCGTGTTTTTCGCATCTGACCGGTCATCTGATTATTTTGCTTATTGCACAGTGGTCCGTTCCGAGCACAGCGGTGGCTGGGCAATCGGACGTTGATGCCGAACGGTTTCACATTCATGTATTCATCACGCTGAATTACAAAATGCAAACGTTTAAGGCAATGGGCAATAGGCAAGTGCCGACTGCCGTCGGTAAAGCAACGTTGAAGACATGCAGATCTATCAGTGTAATATGTATTGCCATGAATGATGTCTGATGAGATCAGAACCGTCCTGAACTCGTGTTTTTGGCAAGCTGTGCCGTCTGATGTTTACTGTTCGTCTGAGCTCATCGGATAGGCATCGTTTGACTTGGCTTCCGGTCTCTTCCGCTATACGTCCTGTTTCAAGCCTTATCGTTCGGCACGGCCCGGGACCAGACCCTCCAGGCCCTCCCGTCCGGCCGACCGACCCCGGCCAGGCCCGCCGGCTGCTGCACTTGATTACCCAGCTGAGATACGGCGCTCCGCCGCCCTGCAGACGACAGGATATTACCGAGACATTTCATATCGCCTGCTCACCCAAATGCTCATTTGCCAGCCGGCTGTTGAAAGAGCCCGGCGTCCGCGCGGCCGACCTAGCGGGAAAATAATCGTTTTAGGGTTACAAAGTTAATGCAGCGGAAATGGGCTGGACCCAGTTTTAGGTGATGACACGGACACTGAGGCAGTGTGGCGACCGGCAAGTGCTGAATTTAACATATCTCATGATTTTCTTACGATAAGATGATGGCTTTTCCTGTGAGAAAAGCAATATGCGAGATCAAAGAGCGTCCCGCGATCCCAAATCAATTAGCTACGCATCAACACGGGCGCTTAACACCTGCTGTTAGCATAACCCAGGTATTATATGCAATTATATATTTATAAATTGTGAAAGCGAGATGGAATGCCATTCTGTATGGTTCTACATGGAACTTTTTATATAATTGTCTACGCAAACACATGCAACAATGAAATACGCTTACTAAAACCGTTTACTTTCATAGCTTGCAAACCTGTTTGCCAAAGCCGTTCAAAACTTCTTGGCATGATCATTTCATGCTGTGCTGAATGACAGTATGGCTATGAATGCACAATATCCTGTGCACCAGCTTCCGCCCTACAGTGTGACACCACGCCCACCAGCGCCCCCATAACCGTGCTGTGTGCCCGCAGGCGAGCAGTGCGTTCCAGCAGGGCGCGGTGGCCGTGATATTCGACATGACCCGCGCCCCGGAAATGGTCACAGAGGTGAGTGCCGAGTGCCCGGAGCGCTGAGTGCCGAGTGCTGAGCGCCGGCTGTGCCAACAGCCGGCGACATAATCAATGACACCGGCTCTGTGCGACATGTGTTATGCATTTGTCAAATATTTGATACCGAGAAAACAATGGGGCTATTGTATGCGGAAGACGGAACTAGCCAGTATAAGCGATCGTTCTAGATGATATGCCATTTGGTCGTTTCTGAAAAGGGACTATTCGCAAAGTTGGAACAAATTACGATCTTTGTTATGTATTGTCGGGAAGTCGCATCATCAAACACGAATTGTCTATACGGTTGATTGTCCAACTATTACTGCTCAAGTTCCTTTTCCACTCATATGCAGGTATGCGAGGCTGCAAACGAGCGGACAAAGCAATGCCTAAAATCATTAGCACACCGTCAAGAATAAAGGAACGGTAATGATATCTAAATGAAATAACGCATGCGAAAATGAAAGAAAAATCACCGTTAAACCCGAAAAACTGTAGCTATGGTAGAACGCTCAGAACATGCAGAACACTCGGGGTGAGGTCAAAACAAAAAAGCATTGTGAAGTAAAAAGGAAACGAAGCAAATCTGCCGCCGTTTAAAACGTGCCAGCTTTTATGTGACTTATGTAGGTATGCTGCCACAAAAATTTTCCTCTCAATACAGCCATGACTTATACTCGTAAATAGTAAGAACTGTCACACCAAAAGCCTGAAGCACTAGAAGGCTGAGCCGAGAAAGTGAATTGTCTATCCAGTTTCCCTGCCCCGTTTGGAACGGACGCACACGGTGCTGCTACGGAAGCCCCCCAGCCCGGCTGTCATCTTGGACAGTCGGCAGGCGTCGTGAGTCACGTTATCAATAAAACGTGACCCAACGAGGGGGGTCGGGCCGGCGCTGTCAAACTTTGGCTTCCCGCCGACCGATGCGACCCGTCAGTGAGCCCAATTCAGCGAGCTGGAGGCCCCAGGAGCCGGCGATAAGCCACCCTGCTGTTTAGAATTCTCGCCGCTGAGAGGAATGGTGCGCTTCCTCGAACAACGGCACATGTGTTTACAGCGGCGCAGGTCAGCCAGAACGCGGCATCGCTCCGCTCGGCTGCTGTTTCATGTAAGCGAAACCGTGCAAAGATTGGCAGATAGCGTGCGACTCGTGCGTTTAAACGGTGAACGTTGCTAAATGGGTCGAAACTCAAACGACGTGGAAGGGCGGTTGCTTTACGCCTAATTTATCATTTGATAATTCATGCCTAATGCATAGCTTTACATTTTTGTCACCATAACGCTTCTCAATAATCATAGTACGGTTCGTAGACTCTACATACATAGGCATGCATGTGCGTGAACGTGATAACGTATGTGTGATAGCTTTGATGTGCATATGCAGAAAGCAATAACGAAACAATTACGCTTCCCATGAATACTGAATAGCGTTATTTTATATGAATATGAATGTGAACAGTTTATTATGAATAGCGTTATTTTTCTCTCACAGCGTTTTGGAGCTTAACTCTTAGATGCTGTCGAAATCGAACTGTCAGTTGTTAAAGCCGAATTTAAACAACAGTTAATAAATCATTAGAATTTCAATTGACCGATTGTGATCCGTATACCAAGCGTACTGCGTACCGGTGCATGTAATCTTCTCTTCTATGCCCGTCTTTCTATGACGGGATACCCAGACCCCGCCGTGTGACGCCCTCCCCCCTATCTGCCCGTTCCAGCTGCTGGCCGGCCAGCGCCACCCGCGGCTGCAGGGCCCGGTGCTGGTGATGCAAGAGCTGGACATGGCGCGTCTGTCACAGCTGCTGAGGCCCGCCTCCAGCGTCACCGTGCGCGTCAGCCGGCAGCGGGCAGACGCCGAGCCGGCGGCCGCCGCGCCCGCCTTCACCTACTTCGACATCGCGCTGTTCGTCGTGTTCTTCCTGCTCATTTGCCTGCTGAGTGGCGTGGTGCTCTACAAGATACGGAATCGGCGGCACAGGGTGGGTGAGCTGAGCTGCCTTTTGTGGGTCTGTTTGTGGAAGAGGGCTCTTTTCCCCATGGGGCGTCAAGTTTATGATGTTATGTAGGCTGTTTGTTACACAATTAATAGTTCTAGGAGGTGACGGGTCATTGTGAGGGTATGTGGTTTTATCATCGTTTTTTTTTTTTTAGAAGAGTGTTTGAACGACTTCAAATGTCCCCAGAAGTGGAAGGTTATTAATGCTTAGGGTTGAATAATTTAGTTATTAATGATAAATGCTCTATTTCGTGCCAAAAGGTGTGTTTCGATTCCACTTAATATTTTGACGATACAAATGGGACGCGATTTGCCACGCCGAACGATCTTCGGCCAATTTTCTTCCAATTATCTAACATCTGAACATAAAACCTGTTTTAACAATGCATATAATAGGCGTTAATGGATGACGGCACAGCGTGCTGTTTAAACTTTAACAATCCCTCGGTCAAAGTGTCGACGGTACCTAAAATATGGGCTCATAATGGGCTCACTTCAGATTGGTTCGCAGGAGAGAAACTTTTCATACTTTATAGCCCTTTATCGCCGTAAAAAGCGAAAGGTTTCATCAAACCTGTGGATGGGAAAATTTATGTTGTTGATTGTAGACTAATAAAAGCCCATGCTATTCTACTGCCATTCTATAGCACGCAACATCGTATTGTTTGGAGGCTGAGCTCGATTTATGATTCCCTTTTATTGTTCCGCTCAATGCAGTCATGGTTTCATATTTCGCTCAAATAAATCTGCAACAATGTTCGTATCAATCGGTGCGATTTCTCTGTTTCTGGTTGCACTCACTGGGCGGAAGGGGAAACAGGGAAACCGATATGGTCCTGATGGTCCTGAACGGATGACTGAAGGCAAACCGAAGCTCAAAAACGTTCATCCGTCAATCCATTTTATCACAACGAACACGTTTCGAGTCTATAGCATAATCACATATGTTTTTTAAGATGTTTTCCAACAAACATCAGGCATAAGTTATCACTTCAATGTACCATGACCTGACCTCGAACAGCCGTGTGACCTATGTGACCCGGCCACCACTGACCCATTATACCTCCTGTGCCGGCAGGACCCGGTTCAGAGCAGCTGTGTGACCATCACTGACCCATGTCTCCCCTGCCGTCAGGACCCGGTCCAAAGCAGCTGTGTGACCACCACTGACCCATGTGCCGCCCCTGCCGGCAGGACCCGGTCCAAAGCAGCTGTGTGACCACCACTGACCCATGCCGCCCCTGCCGGCAGGACCCGGCGCTGCGACTGGCTAAGTCGGTGCTGCACCACATCCCGACGCGCCGGTTCGCCGGCGGTGTCGGGGGCGGCACCCCGCGGCCCGGTCGGCCCCGCTGTCTCTCAGCCCACTCTCCCGAGCCGCCGGCCGGTCACAAACCGCGCCTGGAGGAGCCCGAGGGCTGCACCATCTGCCTGGACGAGTACCGACCCGGGCAGGAGCTGCGGGTGCTGCCCTGTCGACATGAGTTCCACCGGGGCTGCGTGGACCCGTGGCTCATCAGCCGGCGCACCTGTCCGCTCTGCACGTATAACATTGTCGGTACGTCGGCCGCCGTCGGACGTCGGACGCCGTCACTGTCGGCATCGACTCTGGGTGGCCGGGATGTGTTTGTACACCTTGGACGGGCGCCCCGCGCTGGCAGACACGCCGCGACGCCTGCCTGCGTGTATGCCGCGTGGGGGGGGGGGGGGGGCGTCACTGTAAACTGCCAGCCTGTGCGTGTAACATTGGCAGGTGGCACCTATACACATGCGCCCGTCATTGATCCTAGCGCAGAGCATGATAAACTGGGGCAGAGCCGTCCGATGAGGCTGGCGTTTTTGGATCGGTGCACAGCATGTGCTCGTGGTTTAACTGATGGATCATGTGTGAGCCAAAGCAAACATGTAGCTATAGCTAGCTTAGCCTCGCAGGAGCTTCACCTCAATGAACCGCTTGAACGTTACCAGGTATCTGTTACCGGTATTCGCTGCAGCCGTGCCAGGACAGGTGGCATGTGTCAGTGTCAGACGGCGGCCTGTGGTGTTGTTTCAGATCGGTGTCGGGCGTCGGACCTGTGCCCGCCGCCCGCCGCCGAGCAGCCGGCCGTCCGCAGCTCGTCAGCGCCGCCGCCGCGGCCGCCGGCGCCTCCCAGCATGTACCGTGCGCCCCCGGTCACCTGCCGGCCCACCGAGGTCACGACGAGCCGCGGCGTGCCGCAGTACCACGCCCTGTACCGGGACCAGTGTCTGCCGGGCGCCGCCGGCGGCCTCATCAGCGTGCCGGCGTCCCCGGCACTGCGCGGCCGGCCCTACAGCATGTACGAGCCGGCCGTCAGTCGGCCGACGCCCACCTACCTGACGCCGAGCGGCTGCCTGGACCGGCGGCCGCTCTCCTACCACCCCGAGGCCGTCAGTCCGTACCGCACAGCCGGCCGGTCCCTCTCCTACGAGCCGAGCGGTCCGCCGCCGCCGGCGCCGCCCGGTGGACCGCACCGCCAGCCGGCCTATGTGATCGTCCGTACCGTGTACCCCGAGTACGGCGACTCGGGACGGCTCGAGACGTGCACCGTGATCCCCTGCCGACGGCCGGCGCCCGCCGGAGCCGACGGCCGGCCCTTCTCCGGGCTGCCGATGCGCCGCTCGGTGGCCGGGCTGCCCGAGCGGCGCTCGTTCTGCGACCCCGATCAGCACGCACTGGTGGCTGCCGCCGCCGACCGGCGCTCCTACGCGGGCCCCGATCAGCGGCTGGCGCCGCAGGGCGCCGACCAGCACCCCTACAGGTCGACAGCGCAGCGGCGCTCCTTCACCGCAGCCGAGGTGAGTGGTTCAAATCCCACCGGAGGCGAGTCCAGTTTCCGCGCGCCAGTGGGAGCGCGACGAACCTCTTCGACGAGAGGTCAGGAAGCCACGTGCCGCCTGGAGGTGGTTTTAACTGGGGCGGCCCCTGGGGCTTCAGCTCGTCCGCCGGTCCCCCGAACCTGCTCATATATAATGCAGTGAGCCGACGGAGTTGAGGAGACCGTCAAACGTCCGCAGGCAAATACATCACTCTCTCCCACGTGAGTCCCTCAGTCCTTTACCGCCCACCGGATGCTAAAAATAAGATGAAAGCTTGTTTAAAAGTAAATAAAACGGCATCCAAAAATGTGCCGGCGATAACCATGGGCGACTGGCCTGCACCGCAGTCTTTATCAAACATCCGTGCAAGAACCATCTTTCTCACGATTTCTATGCCCGTTCCACCGGCCTATGTCAGCCTATGACCTATACGCGACCTGACCACTTTCTCAACGGTTCCTCAAAACGGAAGTTACATAGTTTCTGACCGCACCCGTCACGTGACCACTCCGGGGCGGGCGGCCGGTCCGTGACGTCCTGCCGCACTGGCTCCTTGTTCCCGTGGTCATGGTCACGTGGTCGGTGCGACTGGCGGTCGATGGTGGACTTTGGCCCGGTGGTCGTACGGGCAGGGTGTGAAACGGACTGGACGGGGCGCTGCGAGGGGCCCTCCGTGTGAGATATCCCGTCCTGTAGCGAAGTTTTTGCAGCTCAATGTCTACCCGGATAACATAGAAATGTGTGGATATGTGTGGAAGGTGGGAGTGGAAGTCGTACCAAAATTACTGTCACCTGTTACGTCGAAATTCGTTTATGCAACCTTTATAACGTTTAGGCACTCTGGTGTGCAGCTATCAACAGCGAACGACGGAAAAGTTCAGAGTTCTACCGTGCAGCGCCGTGCGTAGATTGGATGGAATTACACCACGTCGATCTCATCGATCGCCGAACTTGAACTGGAACAGGAATCAGGCCATGGTGCGGTCGACTGGATAAAAGTAGCAAGGGTTTGGTATAGGAAACAACGTAATAATGCGTAATAATAATAATAATAATGCGTAATAATGCGAGTGGTCGCAAAATGACCACCGCAATCGACGCGCCCGTAAACCCTAATGAACGAACGAACGTAATAATGCGAGCATGCACCTTTTCAAACATGAGAAGCTGGTCCTAATAAGCCCCAATACTGTGTCAAAGTTCCCCCATCTGTCCAGTCCTTCCATCTCTACAGTACCGCGTGCTGTGTTCTGACTACTGACCCTCTCTTTCTCTTCTCCCACAGACGGTGTGGCCGCCTCGGCCGCCCTCGTGGGCCGCCTCAGACACGGACTCCGATGACCTGGAGGTACGCTCCATCACCGGGTCACGGGACAGATACGACGGAGGCGGCTACAGCACCGCCAGCGACGGGGAAGAGCACGCCGAAACGTGGACGGTCGTCTGAGAGTGACGAGAGAGGAGGGCAGGGAGTGGGGAGAGCGAGGGAGAGAACGCCCAGAGAGGTGGACGGTCGTCTGAGAGCAAGGACAGAGGGAGGGCAGGGAGTGGGCAGAGTGAGGGAGGACATGCCGAAATGTGGATGGTCGTCTGAGACCGACGGAGAGCGAGGAGGAGAGGAGTAATGCAGAGAGTGGAGAGAGTGAGGGAGAACATACTAACGTGTGGACGGTCGTCTGAGCGCGACATAGAGCGAGGAGAGGGAGTACCGTGAGTGAGGGGAGAGTGCAGAAAAAGGAGAGAGTGAGGGGGAGTGACGGACTTAACTCGTCTACTAGGAACAGTGGAATAAGGACGGAGCCAAGATTCGGATTCGTGGAAGTGAAAATAAGACGATTGCCGCGAGTGTAGCTACGGTGAAGGGCAGTGACGTAGGTGGACTGGAAATGCCGCGATAAGAGGCCGAGAGCGAACATTTCATCAAGCCAAGCCCACCGCCAGTCAATGTGCGTAGTCTGTAGCGGATGATTACTGAAACCGACCAGGGTCTGTCAGTCTAGTCGCAGCTGCCGCAGCTGTTAGACTAGGAAGCCATATCAAACGCCGGGCGTCCTATTTACAACGGAGCCCAATATCTTTCAATATCGGGAACTGGGAAGCTTCAAAGTTCACATATCCCGTCATTTTGCATAGCAGCCAGGCACGGAGAACTCCGTGAACTCAGCAGACTCAGTGAGTGTTCTGAGGTCGGTCGCCGCTGTGACCCGGCCGATCACGGGGCCAGCTCGTGTCGGCGTGCTGTGTCGACGGGCACAGCTACCGTGAGCTTTCTGCGGCCGCCCGCGCCCAGACGACGCGCTGTGATATAGGGAGGGATGGATGGAAGATCCGGGTACCGGACCTGATGAGCGACTGTTCGGAGTCGGGACGGGTCTCGGCCGATGCCGGTCACTCCGCGGAGTGAGAGATGTGACGCGTTCGTCGTCCTGCGGCGAGTGCTTGTGGACCGTGTCGGTCTCCGGGAGCGCCGTACGTTAGCCACTAGTCCGGCTCGATTGAGCGAGCCTCGCGACCGGTCCACGGTCGGGTGAGAGCGCACACTCAGCGGGTGCCGGCCGCTGCACCAGTCTTTCAGTGGTGTGCCTGCCCAGAGCGCAGCCGCCGCCCTGCCCTGTCCTGTCCGCCGCTGCCCGCTCTGTTCGCCCCATCGATCGACGGACCGTGAATCACATCCGGAGGACGGCCCGGCCGACTGTCAGCCGACGGCGGCGTCACGTGCCTTGGTGCTGCCGCCGCCGCCGCTCCGCCCCTCCTCCGTCTGACCCGCGCCACTAACAGTATTTTTCTAGCCGGGCGTCGGCGGCCGAGTACCGTCTGACGGTTCCGGCCGCCGCGCCCCTGTCCCGTGAGCTCCGGCTCCGCGCCGGTCACACAGCCAGCTAGTCCGTCGGTCAGTCGGACGGACGGGAAATTCGGTGAGAGCTTGTGAAGCCATTTGATTACATTGACTAGGGATCCGCTGTGTCTGTGAATGGGTGGTCCGGATGGGCAGGTGCCGAGGAGCAGTGGAGATGAGATGACGCAACACAAAGACAAACAAATCGGATGAACATGAAGCAAGGCAGCCAGCTTCAAACAACATGCAATCCCCTTAGAACTCAGCACTGGGCTCGGGAATGTATAAATCTACACCTTAGGATCAGGCATGTCAATGCTTTTTACTTTAATACTGTAATTACACTGTTCCACATTGTAGTATGCGCCAGATTGACACGATTTGAAGTAGCCTTCTGGTTTCCGAGTGCAAAATTTGCCTGTCGGCTGTCCATTATACGTTCGACGTTGACGTGAGAATAAGACCTCCGACTAAACGAGAAAAAGTCACGAATATTCGTCCTCGAACTACGAGCCTCTGTGTCCAGCGGCGAGCGCTAAGTTTGCCGAGACAAAGCGGGTGTGCAAGCAACAAATTGGTTTGCCAAATAGTACCTGAATACGTTCGACCAAGCGACGGGCCGATTGCACATCACATTTAAATGCACTAAATGAAACATCTCGCTACGTTCCACATTATATTGCAGACCATAAAAATCCCTAAAAAATAACAACTCGTCGAGTCCCTTTTCGCACTGGTCACAATTCACCTATTTCACAGTAACAGTAACCGTCTGTCAGCTCAGGGCCGACCTGCCCGGGGTGTGGGGATCGGTGGCAGTGTATTGTTGACCTCAAGCGGGAGGCGGCGTTTACCGAGCGGTGGTGGTGCCGGCCGGCCGGGTCGGGTCGCCGCGCCCCGCCAGCACACCTGACGACTAAGGGTCAACTCAGTCGCTGGGCTAGGCTAGTCGTACTGTCTCAGCCGCCGGCTGGATGTACCGTCCCAGCCGCCGGGCTGGCCGGCTGCCACCGAGCCGCCGTCACGGGCCAGGGACGGGCCGCTGGCCAGCGCCCCGCCACCACCGGCGCCGCTCCTGGCCCCCGGTCGGCCCTCTCTCGCCGTCTGTCAGTGGCGGTGGTGGGGCGAAAATAGCCCCGCCGCCGCCGCCGCCGCTGTCCGTTTGGCTACCGGCGCCATCTGAAAGCGGCCCGGTCGGTGGGGTCAGAGCAGCGCGCGCGGGTCGGTCACTGGCCGCGCGCCAGGGCCCAGTAACAAAGGTCACCGTCGGCCAGCGAAAATCAATCGTGTCGCCGGCCGGCCGCGTCCTTGCTGTCGAGGCGCCGACTCATTACAGGGGCGGCGAGGCGTCTGTCGAGTCGACAGTCCTTGTCTCTGTTCGGGTCTTGTCCTGACCTCTTACCCATACTCCGTCACACACAACAGCTATCGACCCACCGTGCCCGTCCTCCACCCCCCTCTCCCCACTAGTCACACACAAAGAAACAACCTCACCCGGTACCCCACATGCCCTCCCCACCAAACTTACATCCTGAGCAGCTTGTCCTTTCCTCCGCTGACCACCCGTTCGCCATCTGGTGACCAGTCTACAGCAAACACTTCGTCCGCGTGGCCGGGCAGATCCAGCTGGAGCTTACGAGTCTTCATCGACCACACTGTGGACGGGGCGGGCGGGCGGGCGGGGGTCAGCGTGACGAGCGGCGTTAGTCATCGCCGCCTACCAGCGGACTGAGGGCAGGGAGGGAGAGCGTCATCATGAGTCACTACGTCAGCCCAGACGCAGTCGCCGAGCGGGGTTCGAGCCGGCCAGAACAGACGAGGTAGTCAGGTGAGTCACGCTCCCGCCCCCTCTCCCCGCTACCTACCCCGTCCACACGGTTCGTCGGAAGGTCATCTCAGGCTCAAAAGAAACGATATATACCATTCGAAAGCTGACGGTGAGCTGAATCCAAAAATGTAATTTTTATCAAAATCGATCGATGGCCTTTTTTGAAAATTGCGTTTTTGTAAAAACTTAATAATCTTTTATTCAACGGGCTGTCCTGGACATTCTTGAAAACATAAACATGTATTTTTGAGTTCCAGTGAAAGCTGAATGCCAAAAGAACAATATTTAGCGAAGCAACATTTCCAAACATTAATATGCGTCTCCCACAGCCGAAAATAAGGCGCAATCACACAGCTCAGTGTCACGATGGAGCAAAGTCAGCCACACAGAAGCGTGAAATGACCCTTATCGACTCGCAGACCCGGCGCTCTAGGCCCGCCTGACCGGCCACGGAAAGAACGTTCGGCTCTCGTTCTACTAAACAAACGTCATATTTGTCAGTTTAACTGTCCACATCGCTATTAAAGTTATTCAGGATATCTGTGAAGAAAATTCATTGTTCTGTCATCCTCACATCATGCATTAATTTGCATTTGTTCATGTCTACTTTGCTCAATTGAGCTTGGTATCATGCCCATATAAGGAAAATTGGCCGCGCTGAAATGTCAGAGGCTGCACCGGCCTCAGCTCGGGTGGAGTGGGGGTAGCGCCCGGCGGGGCAGGGTAATCTTTGACCGGTCGCACGGCCGAGCAGCTGTCACCAGTACAGCCTCTGACAGTGAAACCCCGCTCACTTCCCCTGCGCGGGCACTGATCGCAGCTGGATGGAACAAAACATGCATAAGAAAAATGTAAATTAAAGCATGTTGTAAATCGAGCAGAACAATGAATTTTCTTCACATGTATCCTGAATAAATTTAATAGCGATGTGGACAGTTAAACTGACAAATATGACATTTGTTTAGTAGAACGAGAGCCGAACGTTCTTTCCGTGACCGGTCAGGCAGGCCGAGAGCGCCGGGTCTGCGAGTCGATAAGGGTCATTTCACGCTTCTGTGTGGCTGACTTTGGTCCATCGTGACACTGAGCTGTGTAATTGCGCCTTATTTTCGGCTGTGGGAGACGCATATTAATGTTTGGAAATATTGCTTCGCTAAATATTGTTCTTTTGGCGTTCAGCTTTCACTGGAACTCAAAAATACATGTTTATGTTTTCAAGAATGTCCGGGACAGCCCGTTGAATAAAAGATTATTAAGTTTTTACAAAAACGCAATTTTCAAAAAAGGCCATCGATCGATTTTTATAAAAAATACATTTTTGAATTCAGCTCACCGTCAGCTTTCGAATGGTATATACCGTTTCTTTTGAGCCTGAGATGACCTTCCGACGAACCGTGTCCAGAGCCGACTGCCGACCGGAGTGTTCGGGTCAGACCGACAGACAGTGGCTGATCTTCCCCGGGGAATGCTCAGACAGAGACAGAGGCACGTGGTATTGGTACCGACGTCGATACGGGGTTACGTATGTACCACTGACAGTAACTCGCAGTACGTTGGCAGTACGATAAATCGTCAGATAACTCATCCCTATCGATGGGGTATCGGAGAAGCGGTGTGGCACGGCATTACACGAGGAAATGTGCGTATGAAACATACGATGTAGCGGCCGGAATGAAAACACGGCCGAAGGGTCAGTGATGCAAAAAAAAAAAAAAAACACGACGCCGCAAAGCTTGACCGAGCATTACATGGCTGGCTTGTAAGGTATGACTAGTCGCCATCCGCTCCACTAAAACATTGACCGGACAATGCAAAGGAATTGAAATATCAAAATCTTCACACCTAGCCAGCAATGAAATAATGATAGTCTAACTGGCAACAAAATATCTTCAACTAGACCCCAAAGCAACAGATTGACATCCCTTCTTTCTTCCAAGGTTGTACAGAATATATGGTGCGCCACGTCCTCAGCAAGACTGAAACAGTATAACGGCGTGTACTACCGCTATCGCCGGCATAATCACAGTTGAAACATTACGTTTTCTATTTATTCAGTTCCTAGGAGTGACTTTGGCAATTGAAACAGCTGCAATGAAAACATTGCTGCGAACACCGACCTTTTAGTCCCTGGATGACAAATCAATATCACTTGGAAAAAGCCGACACAATTTTTCTTCAGTACAAAATCGTTACAAGAGCGCCAAATCGAGCAGACAGAGGATGCACCCGATCCCGTACCTTTGAGCGTAGAGTCGGCGCTTCCGCTGACCAATAGTCGTGAGTCGGCCGACCAGGCGGTCATGTAGACGGCCTGCACGTGGCCTCGGAGAGCTGCTACGAACCTGTCCAACACGGGCAGAGGGGTGTGGTGAGCGGGAAATAAGAAGGGCGGGGTGGGGCAGAGAGTGGTGGGTATGGAGAGGGGGAGGGGTGAACACGGGGAAAGTAAACACAGGGGGAGTGGGTGCGCAAGCAGGAGAGTTGGTACCAATGGGAGAGGGTTGCACAATGCACATGAGAGATGGTGCACAAGCCGGGAGAGGGACTGGACACAGGAGAGAACGTTACATATGATGAGAGGGCGAAGAACACAGGGGAGGTTGCGGTTAACCAAGAAGAGTTACAGTACATGGAAGCCGGAAAAGCACAAACTATGAAGCACGCTACATACACGCTCTGCTATGGTCACGAGCACCGCAACCAGTTCCGCAATAACCGGCACCGTAACCAATTCCGCGAAACGTTCATGATGACGGCTTTCAACCAACTCACTACCCAACCAATATGAACTTAGCCCAGCTTGCATTTGATGCGATCCCATCCAACTCTCCACCTATTTCGCAGAACAGCTTTACCGAACACGTTACATAGCATTCCCTGAGTTCACTTCGAATTCAACTACCAACCAACCATGCCTCCGTAGACTCGAGCATCATCCAATTCCACTAATGCCTGCGACAGGTCCCTGAACGACACCCCCGCACCCGTGTGCGTGCCCGGCGCGCGCTGCGTGGCTTACTTTCCGGTCCTGCCGTCCCAGATGCGAATAGACTTGTCGAACGAGGCGGAGGCAATCAGTCGCGAGTCCGGTGAGAAGCGCACGTCGTTGATCAGCGCCTGGTGGCCGGTCATCCGCGCTGCAAGGGGAGGGGAGGGGTTATGATACGGTATCATTGGATTGATGCCATGAGTCGGTGCTAGAGAAAGTGGATTGGAAACGATATACAGCGACTGGCATAGCATTTATATCAACTGGGAAACTTCCCTGGAAATTAACACTATCGCGAGAGACAGTTGCATAAAATACACAGAAAGAGAGCACACAACACACAAAGAAGAAGAACAGCAACAAAGAGAACAGAACTTTCATCAAATAGTAAAAATATATGTATTGCATTGTCAACGATGCAAAGATCGTTTTCTTAAATAGAAAACCTTCAATCTGCCTTCTTCGTAACGCAGCATTAACAAACAGCTGTCTGCCGTCCGCTGAGCTAGTTGAACACCACCCGACCCCTACCCCCGACCCCACTGGGTCTGTAAATCAGTGACCGGTCGCCACCACCTACCGAGCGGCTTGTTGCTCTTGGCCGGGCTCCAGAGGAACATGGTGAAGTCGTCACTGCCCGACACGAGCCGCTCCTCTCCTCCGCCTGACTCCAGTACGGTAGAGTACCGGGTGCGAGCGGCCGTCAGCTTCTGCTCGTCTGTCGGGGGTGGAGTGGACTGGTTAGCGGTGGTAGACGGAGGGAAAATAGTGCGATGAGTGTAGTTGATACTGAAACTGCATGAAAAACCATCATCGCCGTCATGAAGTGACGAGCGGCGTTAGGATTGTGTATACGAGAGCTGACGTTCAAATGGGACGAGGCAGGTGAATGCACAGACAGCCTGGTCGAATGTCACCCTCGCATTGTTAGGATAGCTGCACCACACATCACTTGCGCCGAGTCAGGCCAAATATCATGCAGTTTAGTTCGAGAAATTTAAGGCTATGATTCGGTTAGCCGTTGAGTAAGACGCGGACAGCGCCCCCAGGCCCCAGCGGCAAAAGTTTTACCTGATACGTCGTCCGCCAGATGTCCGACGTCGCCACGCGCCGGGTCGTAGGCGCCCACTCGCATCACATAGTCTGTACTGAGGGCTAACGTGTTCACCCAGTGACCGTGACCCTGGAGCGCCCGCACCATCACACCCTGGAGCACGGGGGCACGACGGTTAAACACTGTATGACACCCACGCTATCGCACTTTGGAGCCAGCTAGAAAGGCCATTGAAAGAACACGCATACGTACCACGAGGTCCCCGGTAACCTACGAACACACCGCGCCTTACACATGTCGAAATATTGCATCATGGGTCATTTAGCACCCCAGGTTAGCCATTCCTAGCGCAATAAAACTCCCCTGCCTTGACATGCCCCCTTTCAACGGTTGGACACTTTTCCGCCGTTTTCTCTCGTCCACTCACGTCCTCTGCGCGCCACACTTTGACGGAGCGGTCCTGCGAGCCGCTGAAGAGTAGTCCGCCGCCGCCCCAGCGCAGCGCGGTCACCGACTGTGTGTGACTGGTGAGCACGCGCAGACAGCTGTGCAGGCGGGCGTCCCAAACCCGCACGTCGCCGTCCTTTGAGCTCGAGGCCAGCAGCCGACACTGCCCCGACTCCGTGCTGGGGTGGAAGAGCGGGGCATAAGTGAGTGCAAAAGATGGATCACAACGCCGGTAAGCTTTTAAGAGAAAGACATAAAGTCGTTTCGCTATGGATAGAGATTCAAGATTGTAGGCATTCGTATTTGCCTCATCGTTAGTCAGCGAAAGTAGTTATTATCTTTTCCAATAACTACTAGCTTCTTACGCAAAACGTCTACTGTTCCTGACTGCGGCAATCCAAAACCCATTGTCGAAATCATATTGCTTATATGACAATCCGCACTTAACGTTACCCCTGTCTGCCCACGCCGCGAGCCCTTCACCTTTGGGCTGTGACCTCTGCCTACCTATGCCGCGAGACCCCACCTTTGGACTATGACAGCTGTCCAGTGTCCACCCCCGCCGCCGCTGCCGTCCTCACCTGTGGAGCGGCTGCCAGCAGACGGCCGTGATCCACTGTTTGTGTCCACCCCCCGCCGCCGCGACTGCCCTCATCTGTGGAGCGGCTGCCAGCAGACGGCCGTGATCCACTGTTTGTGTCCACCCCCCGCCGCTGCCGTCCTCACCTGTGTAGCGGCTGCCAGCAGACGGCCGTGATCCACTGCTTGTGTCCGGTGAGAGGCTTCCCCTGCTGCTGCCCGCTGACGGGATCCCACAGGCGCACCTCGCCAATCTTACAGCCGGAGGCCAGCAGCCGGCCGTCGGGCGACCAGGCGATACACAGCACCCAGTGCCGGTGACCTGCGGGCGGGTAACGGTGAACGATCGAGTTCATAAAGAAACCAGAGAACGACGAATTCGACATGAGAGTCAGCAGAGTGACATACTTGTTTGCATAAAAGGGATTAATAATAGGATACCCTATCTTTGAAAATGACTAGACAATGAAGCAAAAGTAAAAAAAAAAAAAAACGAAAAGCTTGACACTGAGTGCGCACGCTATTTCGTAGCGTTACGCCCGTCTAAAGATAAAAAACACAGATCGTGAAGTTTGTGAGAGCGGTTATTGTCGACCCGCAAACATTTATCCATATCAACGACTAAGAGTGTCTACAGTCACGAGGCAGCCCCTCCACACATACCACGTCCACCTCACCTGCACAGGTGTGCTGGGGCGTCTCTGTGGAGACGTCCCAGAACCGAACCGTCTTGTCTCCGGAGCCACTGGCCAGCTGCCGTCCGTCCGGCGAGAACCGCGCCGCAATCACCGCCTCGGCGTGGCCCGGAATCGAGCTGTGGTGGGGCGCGCGCAGAGTAGGTCAGATGGGACCACAACTAGCCTGTCTCTGCAGGTCAGGGGTGATCTCAACAGTCATGAGTATCTGCTTAGTTATTCATCTTGAATGTGACATGCCCCGAACTCCTTTAGCTCAGTCTGCATCACAAATTTTCTGCAAACACATGAAAAAGTGACTATTTTACCACCCTTTAGAAACTAAGATACTGGAACAGATGAATAGCAGAAGCACTAACCTTGTGCAGCGTGTGACTGCCTTTACTCTGAAGACTGCCTGTGGCTGGTACACGATGTTGAGCACCTTCTCTGAGTCAACTGTCAGTCGCTCTAGTGTCTCCTGTAGACTGGAGGTTACTTCAATGTCGCCAACAAAGAACGAGTAGGGCACCGGCTCCTCCTCCTGGCCAAACACACAAATCAAAAGTCATCTCATAGCCACATTTGGATCACGTCGTGGCTGTTATCAAGTACTGCATGCATTGCAACTGCCCCTCCCTCAAATATATTCAGGAAATGTTATAAAAAGGTTATTAAGAAATTGAAGCTTATGAGAAAAAAGCATCAAGTAAAACTAAATGGAATACTTTTTTGACAAACCTTTTCCAGGAGAGCGTTGCAGACCAGTTGCAGTTTGTCCTTGGTGATTGTGGCTGGTAGGTTAAATGGAGCCCCTGCCACCTCGCCGGTTTCAGAGCAGAACTGGGCCAAAATCTGCCTGCTCTCATCCACTTCCATTGATCCCTCCATGGCAGCAACAAACTGGGACAATACCTATCACCTGCAAAGGAAAGACGAGATTGTTTCCAGCAGGGCTGCGGAGTCGGAGTCGGAGTCGGTCGGAGTCGACAGTTGTGACCGGAGTCGGAGTCGGAGTCGGAGTCGATTTTAGAAACCCGAGCCGGAGTCGGAGTCGGAGTCACCGAAAATCTGTCGACTCCGCAGCCCTGCTAGGTCTGCGGAGTCGGAGTCGGGAGTTGGAGTCGGTCGGAGTCGACAATTCTGCCCGGAGTCGGAGTCGGAGCTGGTTTTTGAAAGCCGGAGTCGGAATCGGAGTCGCCGAAAATTCATCGACTCCGCAGCCCTGGTTTCCAGTATAGATACAGATCTGAATACAATGTTAACAAGTGCATACTGTATATTATAATATATATAATCCATTTGTATCAATGTGTTAACAAATAACAAGGAGACTGGATAAAACAAGTTGAACAAAAAATTTCTTTCTGTCAGAGGAGAAGATCCAATCCAATCTCCTTTCTTTCTGTAAGGAGATTGGATAAAAGCAAGTTGAACAAAAATATTTTCTTTCTGTCACGAGCACGGAGGTTTTCCAAATTGAAATGGGAAAGACCACAAGTCTGGTATCACAAATGAATAAAAATATGATAAAAATATGATTTAGATATGATACAGGCCTAGAACGTCGGAACTCGGAACTACATAAGGTGCAGACTTGGCCGGTTGATCTTTGGGCTCCTAACCGCTGAAGTTGTGTCTGGAGTGGACCATACCTAAGTGAGGTGACTGACATAATTGTACAGTTTACACACGCGGGGCTCGAGAAGACTGATCGGATCACTAGGCCTGAGGGTCCTGTCCATGCCCTGTAAGATAGAGTGCGTTTGAAGCAGGGGCGCGGGAACTACTTTCAGACTGGGGGGGGGGGGGGGGGGGGCACGCCATAATAGAGATCAACCTGGGTACCCCCAAATCTAGTTTCCTCACCGGTTTTAGGCCACTCATTTTTCATCCCTTGGCTTTTTCAACAAAAAAAGAAAACATTTGCAAAAAAGTGTGATTTTCCGTCTCAAAGTTGTGGGGGCACCGCCACCACGGCCCCAGAGTTGGGGGGGGGGGGCAAGGCAAGCTGCCCCCCCCACCACCCCACCCCGGTTCCCGCGCCTATGGTTTGAAGGTAGTTTGTTCGCTGAGTTGTCTGAAAAGAAACACCCAAACTTTGCACACAGCTCAGTATGATGATCGAAGTTCAGTGTCCGGATGATTGTCTTAATCAGTGCTGGTGTTATGTTGAGCAACATTCCCGATACTTATATGTTTCGGAATTAAATGACCTTCAATTTGATCATTAAAAACACAGTGATCCTTAAAAAAAGACGTGGAAATTCCAGACGGCTCGTGCTCCGGAGAAAAAAATCGGCTCCGATTCCGGGTGAAATGTCATGGCGGCTCCGGCTCCGACCAACTCCGGCTCCGAGTAAAATGGTCCGGCTCCCGCGGCTCCGGCTCCGGCTCCGACTCAGTACATCCCCAATGCGACCAATTAAATACGGGTGGAAGAAAAAAGGCTATGAGATTGGCACAAGTTACTTCTGTATTTGCGTAAATGTTTCACTGCCTTGTTCTGTCAAACCGAACAAGGTCAATTATCATTTTTTTCTTAAAAAAATAAGAAGAGCCGGAGTCGCCCCCTGTTTTGATGGCTCCGGCTCGGGGCTATATTGTTTCACCGCTCCGGCTCCAGCTCCTGCTCCACACCCCTGAAAAAGACTGCTGCAGAAGGTCACAATGAAGGGGCTTGGGCTGACCCGGGCCCAGGAGATATGCCCAGCGTCACGTACGAGCACGTCAAGGAGGCCGGGCAGCTGTCAGGACAGCTGGCCGGCTGTGCCACGGGCCCCGCAGCTAGTTATAGTGGCGAACGGGAAGAGGATACGCAAAACAAGTAATACCTGGTGCACCAAATCAGTAGGCGGAACTATGGTCAAGCGTACCCATTTTCGGGAACGCATTATCGTTCCCATGTTTGGGAACGATAAACCCAAATATGGGAACGCCATGTAGGCATTATTTAAAACAAGAAAAAGAACCGTTAAATGACGTCTAAAAAATATAAAACGATCGTGAACCGCCTGATATTTGTCTCAATATTGTTGAGAAAGAGTTTGATATTGTAAGGCCCATCGTAGTTTCAAATCGTTCCCCTATTTCTAAAGCAGTCCATCATCCAGGCCGCGAGTCCAAATTTGGGAACGCTCTCGTACACTGGCGCTGCAAGCGTTCCTTATTATGGGAACGGCGTACCCAAAATTGGGAACGATTTCACCGACGCCTTTCAGGGGCTCTTTTCATTAACAAGCATCACGTCCAACGCCGCAAATTATTGTTAACGCAACAATCATCAGATGACCTTTCCGGCAAGACCGTCGCATGTTTCGCCCGGTCTTCTGCGCTTTTATTCCCGTCGATCTCGCAGCGGGCACGCCCCCCTCTGCAGGATTACGTAATTCACAACGCTCAGCGATGTTCAACAAGGTCTTCCATACCTATATCCACCGTCCGCGCCGAGGGTGGAGACATGTCAAGCACCTGTCTGTTTATCACCGATAGTTGACGAGCACAAGGAAGTATCCAAAAATGGGAACGCTGAATATGTTACACCCTCAAAACACCTAGTCCCAATGAAAATCTAGTTTTTTCCTTTCTTGATGAGTGTAAGTGGCAAAAGGCCTGGTAGGATGGGCACGAGGAATGATCGAAATCAGCATAAAAATTATAAATTAGCCACACAGAGCGACCTATACCTATAAGAGAAATTCCCCCAAAACGATCGTGCTTAGAAACACGGAAGACAAAAACCACGCTCATGACGCTCCTTATAAACAACTCTAAACAGCTAGCATCCAAATAAAATATGTCTTTCTGGGATGATAAAATACAGCTGAATAATTTTAAACCACTGAAACTGAGTTTACAACAGTAGTTCGGTAAAATCACTGATGTTCCATGCGGTCGTGCGCCCCGACACCAAATGTCACCAATATTACCCCCGGACTGTCCGCGTGTTCGCTTGCATATATCAGCATCTGGTGTCGCTAGTATGAAACTTCATAACCGGGCGAAAATTATTATACTTGACCTCAAAATGTAAAAAACGCTTCATTTTCCTTAAAATTGCAAGTTAAATGTAGTATAACCCATGTTTTCACCATTCCATCATTTCAAAAAATCATTAAAAATATCATTCGACGGTCAATTTCCTTGTGCAACGGTCAGATTAAAGATAATTTTATAGAGACTTAGTAGATACTTAAATTAGCGTGCACTTTTTTGAGACGTGATGCACTAATGAGTTTTAGTGGGCGAACGGCCGAAAAATTACCTTCCGTTCCCATAAATGGGAACGCCCGTTCCCATATTTGGCAACTCCGTTCCCAAAAATGGGAACGTTCCTATATTTGGGTACTCATGACCATAGTTCCATATCATATTTAAATTCATCATATATGTATCAAGAGATACAGATCAATGTTTGCATAGGTATACCTACAAAAAAAATATGAACAGATTCAAAACACAATTTGGAGGATGGAGAAATTGAAACATGGAGACAAAAAAAAACAAAGCATCTCAGTCTGTATAAGACAAAGACGTCATACAACGATACCCAAAATTGATCCATTGAATATATGCAGCATATATAGCAATTTATGTATATTGAGGTCAAACCAGTTCAAATTAAAACAAACTAAAAGCAGAGGTTAGACCATTGGAAAAGGTAAAATTTAATCACACTCACCAGAAGCTCAACAATAGTCCTGACTCTGAGGCCTGAGCCAGCCAGAAATAAGTCAATCAAGTGCCTTGAGCTGGGCAGCAAGTATGTTACCTTACTTATAGTTAAACGCAAACAAAAAGCATTAAAAATCAACACACTAGCCAGTAGCCACACTATACACACAAAGTTAATTCAGCAGAAACGAGTTCAGCACGGTGTTTTTGAAAACACACACACGTGCAAGCCCCGTCAAGGTCAGCCGTTTACATCAAGCTAATAACCTGCAGAAAATATATGACGCAATAAGCTCAGAAAATAAATGACGTCATGATTTGGGACCACCCCGAAACGCTCTAATAATTGGTGTTTTTGTTGTATGACTGATTGCAACTAAGTTTGCATGAACTTCCCCAGGTTCCAAGTATAAAAAAAAACTTGCGTACAAGGTACCATATTGGTATCACTGTTAGGTATACCGTCCATTATCCATTGTTCATACATCAATAATGGCTGTAGATTTGGGCAAAATTTGGATAAAATTGGCAAAAATTCCCAAACTGTTATACATCAATATTGATATTGAGTTTCTTATTATGAAAAAACCTCGAGCTGTACCGAGTTACAACGCTAGGGTTACAAGCCCCCAGTTACGTCGAACAAATGAACGAATAAACGGAAATGTCAAAAAAGGAAATCAGCGACATCGCTGAAAACTCCAGCTTAAGCCAAGATCGTACTCCACGAAGTCTCCATGACATGGCGCCAAAAAGGCGTCGCTTCGCTATACCGAGAGGCGGTAAATTAACCATGTTATTAGCCTTATGGAAGACTGCCTAATTTATGAGCGGAATTGGACGTTTTATACTGCAACGCCCTTTGTTTATCGGACACTACCGATTGATTCACCCTGGACCCGAATAGTGAATACCTGAGCCATGGATGAAAAGAAAGGTTCTCCTTCATCCATGCCTGAACCATGTCATTGCCAATGACTGAATGAACTTGAAAAGACGTCAATCAATAAGTGTAACTCCCTACGACCTACATATCGACATGAATGTACCCCCACCAAAATGCTGTGCTGGAAATTCGACACGCCTGGTTCTGCTCGTCAACAGTAACCGTCCCATCCTAATCCCAGCCTAGCAAGTGGTAACGACAAAAGAAAAAGGAACATTCTGGACGTATATATGTTCTCGAAAATCTCCTCACACAATGGTCGTCTCATGACAAGATGGATACACTGAAAGTCTCGGTGGTCGCATCGCACGTTGCAACTGCGTATCGCCACCACCGGCGCGGCCGGCCGACACCTAGCGAGCACATGTGGAACTTCTACTTGCTGACGAACCCGCGCAGGCCCTCGAGCAGGGCAATGTAGCACTTGTGCTCGTACTCGGTGCAGAAGTCGGAGAGCTTGCCGGCGAAGTCGTTGCTGACGCCACGCTCCTCCAGCATGTTCATCAGCAGGTCGTAGAGCACCTGACGACGGCAAAAACAAGTCAGCACGAATCGCGAACAAGGAAATCGCGAGCACCAAACAACCGTGAACAAGAAACTGGAAACATGCGCTGCTTGGACGCAAACCAAATAACGCTTTTACGAATTTCCAGCATGCCTCCCACCCCGTCTCCAAATCAGATTGGAGAGCGCGGAAAGCAATCCTCGTAGCGAACTTGTTTGGCAATAAAATGCAAAAGATAGATGAAAAATATAGGGATACCATTCCCCATCCAGAGTATCCCATGCTCGGTGTCATAAACACACTCATAACTCACAACAGTTGTACTAGAAACGTAATGATGAGACACATGGGAAGTGGAACACATGGTTACTTACTCCATCGAGAATCTCTCCGGAGACTGAGAAGTTCTTCTCGTGGTGCTCTCCCTCGAACATCACCACCTCATCGATGGAGAATGTGTCATCTGACGGAGAAAAGAGCAATAGTAGGTTAGGTAGGTATAGTACAAGTAAAAGTAAAGAAACCTTTCGAAATCTTACATAAACAAACATGTTTTGACGTCTTGAATCCGATACGAATCTAATTAATAATAATAATAATGTGATACATTATTATCGTAAAAACTTAGTATACAAAAGCAGTTAACATGAAGAAAAAATAAGGGCATTGGATTCGCACTTAAGCTGCAACCGTCAGTATTTTCCGCCATACATGAATCACGAAAAATTCACTACAAAGTACGAAAAAAAGATTGTTGCCCATTTCATTCATGCTCAACAGCATATATCCGCTCAGAGTTACGAATGTCCAAAAATCAGAGCCTAGTAGACACGTCAATGTGAGTATTTAAACTATCATGACACAAATGCCATCGGTGAGTATAAACATCTGAAAGGCACTATGAACCAGTTCATTTTGATACCGTATCCCTACCGATTCGCTGCTACCGAATCGGATCAGCTGTCGCTTATCGAGGTCCTGTTATGAGTACAAGTTTTATAACCCGCTTTCTAGAACAGTTTTGAGAAACCATCCGTGCAATCTAAGCGTTAGTATCATAGTTTCTCGCGACAGAACAATATATACCTACCGAGTGCTAATCAATTAGCTCTTAACCCTCGCCCTGGCAGGGCATTTTTCATAACACGGCCTGGCAGGGGGGGTCGATGCGACCCCCCTCGCGATTGGCTCCTATGGCACCTAGAAACACTAAATTTGGTAGGTAGGTGGGCCCCCTGGAGTTCTCGCCCTTGTGCAAATTTGGTTGCTCTAGGTCAATATTTAGGGGGGTTTTGGGGGGTATAAATGTAAAAATTTCGCTAAAAACAGGTCAAAAGTTTTTCGCTTTTAACTTTTGATCTAATTACGATAGAGCAAAAAGAAAAGCACCAGTGAACTCAGCACGTCAAGGCGCGTCGAATGATGTACTTTTTAGCTTCTTTAAGTGTACTTAAAGTTTTCTTAAATTTTAAGTAAACTTAAATTATTAAATTAAGTTCAAGTTAACCAAATTGCATCATATCGCATATCATTCGATTCGGCTGATCACCAGGAACACAATGATACCATTTTTAAGCTCTAGCGTCATTATGTGCCAAGTTATTGGCAAAAACGTCATTTGACCTCAGTTGACCTCATTTGACATGACCCATGGATAAGTACACCAAACAAAGAAGCACCGAGTGACCTGCTGTTAAGTACTGTGGTTTCAAAGCACAAAAGTGATACAACGAAGCGGATATCTCCAGTATTTTCCGAATTTAGTATTTTCCCATAGGGGCATTCCACGTCAAATCAAACACCGAAATCCGTCATCCCCTTCGATTTTTCTAAAAATTTGTAGGCAGACTGGGCATGGTTCAAAACTGAGTTACGTATATTTTCGAAATTTGATAACGTATCGCCGAGATATAGGTCATCGAATATAGCCAAAAATGCCACACGTCATTTTTTAAAATGCTTATAACTCTGGTTCCTTTTCTGGTATCAAAATGATATTAACAGGGTCTTGTAGGCAATTGATAAGGCTTTGATTTTTAATTATAAAATTAAATTGAAGTGACCTTGAAATGCATTTGACCTTGAATTAAAACAGAAAAATTTAAATAGCAAAAAACACGCCACCGTCGATTTGAGTAATTTTTACATATTATGTCCGTCACAATGTTCCTAACCATCTGTGAAAAAAATGGAGTGGGCCATTCATAACTTTCGCGGCAAACGCCGTTTTCATGCATCAACATCACCCAACCGCGCGTGACCTTGAAAGACAGAGTCAAGACATGCTTGCTTGTGTACACTTTCTGAAGTGAATGATTGCTGATTAGTGATATCCCAAACTCTGCGAGAATGGAAATGCATAGTCATCGTAGTCAAGCATTCACGTTCCATTGTAAAAGTGTCTCAGGCAAACGGTATTTTGCGGTGAATTTTGAGCCGTGTGGAAATGCATCATGAAATAAATTCAACGAAAACATTATCACGCAACGATATCTTCACGTCTTTTGATCTTCACTATACGAATGAACATACATTTTTGAGTATGTATGGGGAATTTCTAGTTAATCCGATAATAAATATGGCAGTTAGAGGCCTGCTAAGAGTAACATGTCGCCGGCTGAGGCGGGATCGGCCGACGCGGGAAACGCAGCAGTCACAAATTTGTGTTTACACGTTCATATTTCAATTGTTTACCAACCTATTTTCAGAATTCTTTCACCATAAGATTGCCTGTACATTTCTTAGTCTTCTCACAAAATTTGACGCGAATCGAACGTAATCAGCGGTAAGGAGCGCGATGTAAAGACGGAACCGTTCCGTTCCGTCCCGGCACAGTCTACAATTCAGGCGGCGCGTAGCGGTCGGCGCCGGCTGCCGAGTCGCCGCGGCGACAGGATGTTCACTTTACACCGCTATTACTAGAACAGTTGTGAACCGATTTTCTTATTGCTTGCACGATGAGATGTGCAATTCAATTCTGGACAGGTAGCCATAAGTAATTTCGCATTAATATTATGAGATATTGGCGAAAAACAGGAGGGTTGGGGCGAAACCCGCTCTTCCCCCTCCACTGCGCGTGCTAACATACGTTTGCATATGTGCCATTTTCTTCAAAACTTATGAATGGCCCACTCTAATTTTTTCACAGGTTGTTAAGAATATGGTAGGCAATAAAATATATGAAAATGAGCCAAATCGAAGGTGGCGTGTTTTTTGCTATTTCAATTTTTGTGCTTAAGAACAGAGTTAAGCAAATTTCAAGGTCATATATTTAAGTCGATGCAATTCTAAACAAATGCTTAAGAAATTACCTAAACAGTAAGGTTTATTTCATTCAAATCAAACAAGTACAACCAAAGTTATGGTCGTTCAAAAATATAAAGATGCAACATTTTGTAAAAATTTGATGCCCTATATTTAGAAGACCTGTGGTCAGAATGTGCAAAAAACATCAATGTAATGTCCGGGGCGACACAGGAACTCGCTCACAAATTTATCATGAAATCGCTGATGGTAAGGTGCAAAACAGCCGATTTTTGTTCGATTTGACGTGGAATGCCCCCATAGGCTTAACATTACGACATATTGACCTCTAACTGACCTCAGGTCAGTGACCTCAAAAAACCCGAGCTATATGTTATACAACTCAGTGAACTTAGCACATCCTGAAAGTTTGAAGGAAATCAGTCCAAAACTGTGAGTTGGACAGGTGCAAAAAGAAAATTGAAATTTGACCATGACCTTGTACCGGTTTTTCTGACCTGGTGACCTGACCCAAGGTCACCCGGACCTGAAATTTTCAGGTCATATGTAAAAAGGTTGCCCCATAGGCTGTGCCAACGCCGCCGTTTTTACGCTATCTTCGAAAAACCTTAGGGGGGGGGGGGTCGCATCGACCCCCCCCCCCCTGCCAGGGCGAGGGTTAAGACTTAAAAATTTTGATTTACCGATGTAATGACCCCAAATTAATGTGAAGTTGCATATCAGTAAGCTGTTGAATATCGCCAGCCGATTTGATCTAATATCTGGCAGACATGTGCATGGATCCGAGAAAATGGGATCTGGGATCCAATCCCACGGATCCTGATCTCGGATCCCACGGGATCATAGATACAGCTCTCTAATTTATCGAGAGATCTGTAGGGATCACATATCCGAGTCTCATTTTTGCTTGAGATCCAGTGAGATCATAGATCCTCACTTATTTTTCGTCAACACAGAAATCCCCCCGCAAAAAAAAAAACACTTGTAACTCACAAACGTTCTGTTTTAGTGATTTTGTGTGATTGCACTTCATAATCAATAGTTTTGTGGCACTTATTGACATAGAAACCCTTGAGGACATGGTTTCAAATGTTGTGCAAGTTGGGATCCACTCAGATCATAGATCCATGTTCTTGATTTATCGTCAGATCGTATGAGATCATAGATCTACGATACATTTTTCACGCCAGATCCGATGAGATCATAGATCCTAACCTGCAGTTTGCTTCAAGAACCACTGAGATTATGGATCCGTCGCTCGGATCCATGCACATGTCTGCTGTCTGGTGTCGTGATAAGGTTATAAATAATTATTGTCAAATTATTGCACCTTTGTTTTTCCGACGTACTTATTCAGGGTGTTGCAAATTACGTTTCTAACCCAAAAGCATGCACCGCGCTTCTCTTTTGTTGTATACTTTTAATGCAATGGCATGCATTAAACGAAAATTTCTTTAGCGACACCTTCACCAGCAATTTAGCCATCATCACCATCATTGTCTTCCATTGTGGTGACCAGATGATCAGTTATGTCTTAAGTGATAAATAAGTGTAAATGTATCGAAACTTGGAATAACCCCATACAGCGTTTTGTCTGTATAACATTTTCGTGCGTTGCAAAAATCAATCAAAATATGTTAAGAAATAATTCACGGCATCAAATTCTTCAGTAAATACACGATATTTAAAAATAAATCATTCACGCAAGCAGCGGCCGCCAGGAAGGTCACTGACCCCTGTTTCTCCATCCGCAGCTCCCGGGGGTGACTGCGTCGTAAGGAAGTGACTGGTACTCGCCCTCCGCTACCGAACGCTCTGAAAGTCCCACAAACCTATATTACTTGAATTTATGATCAAAACTAGGGTTGGATGCTTCGGCATTGGTGGTAGCAGAACCGTTGGCAAATATGATCAAACATTTTGATCACATCATCGGAAAAATGGTGCTAAACGTGCACGGTCATTGTAGTGCTAGGCGATTTTCACCATTACATGCAACAATCGACACCGGCATTCATGTGCCGTGAATTAAAAAAAAAATGCAAGCGCTACCTAGTACCTACATCAGCCCAATCCCTATCAGCCTACCACAGTTTGACAGGTCACGTATCCCTCGTGCGACACATTCATTACCCCAGCACTGTCTGCAACACTCACTGTACTGCTCGCCCTGCTGCTCCACCACACCGCCCTCGGTGTACGAGCACGTGAAGCTGACCGTCCGGTTGCCCTTGGTGATGTCCACGTTGAAGGTGGGCCGCGCCTTCAGCTGCTCACTGCCCTGGGTCTCCGAGAGGTCCTCGGCCTCGGGGTCTGAGTCGACTGAGTGGTTCACGTTTAGCGTCACTGTCACACTGCCAGCAGAGTGGGGGCAGACGTGTCACACTCAAATACATCCACGCGCAACATAAATACATCTTACAAAGCATGACTGATATTATGGACCATTGAAGAGCAAGGTTATAGGAGTTATATTCGCAATCTGAAATGTTTTCTCCTTAGAGCTGTATGCTTCTATGTTGTACAATGTCATAACGGAAATGGCTTGAGCAAATAGATAATGCTTAAGATTGTAGTGAATGCACAACAATGGAGGGAAAGTTGGCAAGACACTAGAGCTAGACAGTCACATACAATTCAAAGTTCTTTAAATAATTTCTCATGAATAAAAAAAACTTTTGTAAGCCAATTGAAAAAGCAAAAGTCATTAAAATAGTGAACTCTGGTCTCCAGGATAGCAAGCAACCACAAATAATTTTGGATGTAATTTACAATTGAAATCGTGGATGGTAGGTTACAGGCATATCCAATCAAAGAAATGTCTGAGCTAAGACACAGCTGATGTAGATGCTGGCAAACATACGTCTCATTGTTATGCTTCCTTGTAAGCGTGACTTCAGCCTGGTCCAGCTTGATGTCAAAGTCACCAATCCTTGATGGCAGCTTGTCCATCTTGCCTTGCTTTGTCTCTGCAACAATCTCATCAGCAAGGAAATCTAGCAGCTCCTTGTCACCTGTAACATATAGACAGCAAACAATTGCAGATGGTAGTGGAATACAATATTATCAATTATGCATTTTCAATTTGATTTTCTGTAGAAGGGTGCCAATGTGAATGTGGAAAGATTTATCATCTGATATATCTAACCAGACAATGCATAATAAAATAAAAGTTTGAAACAACAACCAAGCACTGTTCACCTGAGATACCTATCACTGGTCAGGGATCAGGGATACTCTCATATAGACACCTTTTTTTTAAACTCCACATCTGCCCTACCGTGAATTTCCGGGAGGCACGAAAGATCTCCTTTTAAAAGTATCCAATCGTCCGATCCTGATCAAATATGTGTGTTCGTAGGCCTGTTCTGGTATTGCTTTATATGCCAAGACAGACAAACTTGAGAAAAATCGAGTGATTGTACCTTTTTTGAAGGTCTCTAACCAACTTGTCTGAAATTCACCGGAGAACAAATGTGGGGTTTAAAAAAAGGTGTCGATATAATAGGGTTTAGCATTCCTCACTTACTTTTTTGTTAATTAGCTTGTGTCAACTTTTGAAGTATTATTTTCATGCTTTGATAGCACTTCTGGCCCGTTCTGGGATTCTTTCTGTGTGTTAATTATTCTGTGTGTTAATTATACATTTGTGGAGCAATTCTGGTAGAAATTGTTAAAATACAGTGGAACTTTTTGTTATCAATATTTCTATCTGTTAGTAACTCTATATTTTCTAGAATACTCTAATACATAGTATGCCTACAATTTGAATTAGCTCTTCACTAGCATCCTATAAAGGGCCATTGAGGCATTCATTTAGAGAATGTGACAGCAGCATCAACTGGCCTCCAGCTCAGGCATCAGGGCATTTAGATCTAGGGGCCACAGCACACCAGCAGAGGGAACATGTGGCTACCTACATAGTTTATGTTGCTAGAAGAAGCTAAAATATTACAATCTTTCACAAATATAGGTAGTTAACAATAAATTTTAGCATATCCTTGGTACTTGCTAGATATACCTGAATTATCGCCACTGACTGAATTATCCTTTAAAACCAGATATAACAGAAAACTTACCATTTTGGGTAGGTATAGTTAAAGCTAGTGTCACGTACCATTGGCAGGACTGCGAGGTTCTAGGTTGTAGTTTTAGGTTGGTAGCAGTAGGTTGCAGACAAGGTTGTTGTAGGTTAGAAGGAGGTAGGTTTTAGGTTTGTAGGTTGATAGGCTTTAGGTGTAGGTAAGGTTAGGTCAGGTTAATTTAGGTTGGATGCGTCGACAGTGACGCCAGGCGCCAGCTTTAGCAATACCCAGTTTTGTGGCAGGTTTGTTTAAGGGGTTTGGGGGCACAATACCGGATCCCACGAAAAGTGCACAAAAATAATATGCAGGGAATTGAACCACTTACCTGTGCTTTGCATGCACCTCGATGGAATGATTTCCAGTTTCGCAGGGCTGAGAATGGGCCTGTGCGCGGCTCCAAGACAACGAAGGTGTGTCTGAGCAGACGTGCTCTTAAGAACACAGCTGGGCCGTGAAATCATCTGCACCATGGGTCGGGCAATTCTACGGGCAACAGCCGATGCCATGTTATTGTTTTGAAAGTAACTGCAAAATAAATCAATCCAAAACCAACACAGCAACCCAACGCGGTCGGCCAAAACAACAAAAGTGAAAAACGCAGAAATGCCGGCATGGAGTATGTCACATGTGCGCCGAGTTAGGAAACATTGAGGGACGAAAATAGAGGTGGGCGATTCAGAGAACGATAGAATGGGCAAGCAATTAATTAACACTTGTAAGCAATGTAAAAATTCATTTGAAAACAATTGTTTCATGTAAATTTCGACATGCATTTATCACTAGCTCTCTTTGAACTGTAAGTTGAATATAAGAGCTAGACTTTTAGAGGTCAAACGTGGTCTGTCCGTGACAGGGGTGTCGTTTTCCGAAAATGATTGGTAGTGCCCAAAGGCGGCGGCTGGCCATATATGACGGGGCTTACAAGGTAGGGTACCCCCAAATCTGCCTTTCTCATCGGATTTCGGCCACTTATTTTTCGCCCTGGTCATTGACAAGACTAACCGAAATCTAAAAAAAAACACAAAAAAAAACTTTGGAAATCTGGGTCCACACCGGACGCCATGCACAAAACGTGCAGTTATATAGGCAATAGTGTCGGAGGAATGCACGCCATTCTGAAAGAGGCCCACATCGACTTAAAAGGACGGCTGTGCTGAAAGGGGACAGGAACAGCTTTGAGGGCCCAAGCCGACTAAAAAAGACGGCTGCGGGGCCAGGAACGGTTTTGAAGACCCACGCCAATTGAAGGATTCGACAACTAACGAGGACTGGAAACACAACGATAGCTAGAAAGACCTGCTTGCCAAAATAAAAGGATGACAGTACGAGGGGCGTTCAGAAAGCTACGGGCCCGACCATGAAGGAGCAGAGAGATACAGCATCGACTCATTAGACCAAAATGTTCATTTATTCAAATAAACACCGTTAAGACAAACACATTTCGCGCAGCGCTTCGCGAGAGCCCTCAAGGCCTCCATAACCAAGTGGGTTTTGGACCCATCCTGCACGTCCAAGACGGCTGATTTCGTCTCCCTGCTGTTAGCGAGGTTGCCGCTGCTAATTTTCTTATGTTGGGGAAGAGGTGGCAACCACTAACCAGAGTGTGCAAGGTTCGGAGAGAAAAAAGTGGATGCGACAACAACTCGAAGCTCATCGCTTCACTGTTCGTCATCCCGCCCATGTACGCAGGTGCGTGGTCGCGGATCAGGTGCACACTTTACGTCAGCTTCCCTATAGCCTCTCCTCGATGTTTATCGAATGGACGCACATCATCAATTGTGTGCCCCTGTTTTGGAAAGTTGACGAGCGGAGGGGGGTCGCATCGACCCCTCCCCCTGCCAGGCCGTGTTATGAAAAATGCCCAGGGCGAGGGTTAACGCTTGGTGCCTTTTCTGCACTAACTACTATGAAACGAATCACTGCTCTCTTCTGGGCGTCGCCCATCCTATCCGAAATGGCGAACTATGCTACGAATAGAAGCCCGAATCAATCACAGAAGAGACTTAATTAATGGCCACTTACTTAATTTGCGTAAGTGGACATCCCAATAACACATCATTTAACACACCGCCTTGCAGGCCAAAATTCCAACTCCTTCATTGTTCGGCCCGAAACTTTTTGAACGCCCCTCGTAGTTACGAGCTTCAGTTTTCGGGGTCTGATGCGGTAATGACCTGGCGTTGAACCCTGGGGAATCAGGCTGCATCACCCACTCAAATCAATATACCTATGGCCTATTCTGGAGCACCGCGGCACCTTCCGAAGTCGGTGTAGGGCCTCCAGCGGCTGGTGTGGAGACGGATCGGGGTCTATTAGGGGCGGTCGCGTGGTATGCGGGACTCAGAGGCAGTTATGGACCTCTATAACCAATTGCGTTTTCGAGCCTCTTAAAATCCATTAAGGACCGGAGTCCTAGACACGTGAAACCTCATTTTCAGCTACATGCACCTACTGTGGCTAGAACCTTATTTATGTACTTGCATATGTGCTTATTTAATATTTGCTTATCTGTTTATTTTGATTTTTTATCAACTGATAAGTGACAAAAGATTGGTAGGGCTCAGCGAACATTGGTAGGGCCCAAATAAACATTGGTAAGGCTCGGGCCCTACCAGGCCTATACAAAACGACGCCCCTGGTCCGCGATATATATGCCTCGCAGTCGCGCTCAAAGTATTACAGACATGCACTGGAAGACCGATTGCATAAAACGATGAAGACGAAGAAAAATAAAAAAACGATTTTATCAAAATTTATAAATCGAATATGTCAATTAAATCAGTCACTGAGTTATACTAATAAGCGAATGAATGATATTCAGATTCGCCCCATTTTGACAGCCCGGCCCCGCCCTCCCGAAGTAGGCACCCGGCACGAACTCGTCCAGTCCGACACTGGTGGATGACCGGACCCAGCACTGAGCAAATCCTCGTGCGTGACGGCGGTCATCACTTATGTATATCTTCTGTGAACAGACAACGACCATTCCAACTGCACAACCGACTGGCTACGACCTCCGCGCCGGTCCAGCAGAAGGACTCGGCCGATCTCGCCGCGTCTCGGACCCGGTCCGGCCTGCCTGGTCCAAAACTATGGAACTCCGTTATAGTCCCTGGTCTATCACTGGTGACTGATTCTTTCCAGAGCTCTAGCCAACAGCTAGCGAACTCGCAACCTACACTACACTTCCCTTCTCAAAATTTTCATTTCACTTACTTGCCTCGATCGATTGGAATGGCTTCATAACATGCAAGTGAAATACTTATACGAGCCAGTCACCTCAGCCTCTCCCAACGGATTACCTAGTCGGTAATCGAAGCGCTAGCCAGCGTTTTAACGGCCCCGTAGCCAAGTCGTTTGGTCGTCCGGTGTTCTCTATCCGCAGCCCCCCCCCCTCCCCTCCCGGAACCTAACCCCATCCGGTCCACGTTCATAAACGAGCCGAAACGACCACTCCGCTGAGACATGTCGCTCAAAGTTCCAACCGGAACAGGCCCCTATTCCCAACTCTTCACCGATGGCGACGTGAACGTCCATTCTCAAACGCAGCCGGTCTTCAAAAATGGTGTCTATTTCCGGTTTCTGGCCGGTCACTGGTTAGTGACGGTCAGACGGGGATGGCGGCCGAAGCCCAAATATATGAAGCGCGCGGTGACATAGCCTCGGGGCACGGCCGAGTTGACCTCTTTAATGACAGTTTCGCACACATGCTAATCGATATGTACAAAATAAATATGGGATCCGTCGCGCCACTCGGTCGTCGTTCGCGCGCTCTCAAACTCAAACAACTAGCATAGCGAAAGCTCTGTCGACCGGCCCTTGCTGCCGCCGGCGACCTACACAACACACCCTAGGACACGGGCAAATCGGCCGCAGGACACCATCGAACACAATAATATCGCGAGCCGCGGCACGAGACGCACGCACACACACCGACACACGCACACACGCAGACAAACACGAACACGCACAAGACCAGTGGGTCTACCGCACTGCCGCCGGCCAGCGGTGTCGAAAAACGACGGCGCCGCCGACCTCGCCGTATCACAATGACCTGGTTTCCTATCAATTATAGGCCTAATAACGTACTATCGGTCGGCCAGTCGGTCGCCGCTCCGCTGCGCATGCAAAATATCGACCAAGAACAAGCAGCTAGAGTACAGGGAGCAAATAAATAGTTCGGCATGCACGAGTCTGCCCCTGTTGAGCCAAGGGAAGACATTATAATAAGGATATTCCTTTTGGCGCCGACACAGGACCGTACTGAGCACGATACAATTTAAAGTCCCTCCCTTTTCGCCGTTAGGTCGCACCGCCCCGGCGCCGTCCGCAGGAGTCACTGACTGTCTGCGAGGCGCCTGCGCGTCTCACGAGCCGCCCTCTCGCGTCTGACGGGCCGCCCACTGAGTTGGACCCTGGTGCGGGAACAGCATGCGGGTACGGCGACGCCCAGCGCCGCCAGCCCCACCACAGAGACACGTGCTTGATTGGCCCAGGAGTGGTCTTTCGTGCGTCACACAACACGGTGAGCGACTCGGGAGGACCGCGGCCCGGTGCCAGCGGCGACACTAGCGCCACTAGCGGCAAGCGCGTGGACTAGACATGGCTGAGGCTGAGGCGGGCGGTCGGGCGGCCCTCGGCCCCAGGTGCGTGGGCGTATCACAGAAGGAGGTGGGCCGGTGTTCAGACCACGTGCTGCGGTCGGCTGTTGAGCGGCTGCATGCTCTGTGAACAGAGAGGGGTCAGGTCAGACGTGAAGGATCACCTCGGAGGTCACAGAGGACGGGCTCTAACACGGGCACGGCGCTGTGGCTCATACTGATGGGTCAGGGTAATAAGGAAGCATACATCAACAACAGCTGTAAGCGGGACGGATTACCTACTTATGGGGAGTCTGTGTACCCCAATCGGTTTAGACAAAATCGCATTAAAATATAACAAAGTGTTGGTTGCAATAAGAGGGCTAAGGGTATTGGTCAAGTCATGCTTGTACAAAAGCACACTAGCAATATTTAACCGCACAGATTCTTCAGTCTAGAATTTCATCCCAACACAATCATCAACATTACGTTGAATGTACGAGCCAATCAACCGAAACCGAAGCTGGAATGGAATCTAACTACGCACAAAAAGTACTTCTCATAAGTTTTAAGACCCAATCACATCAATGTCGAACAAAAATAAAAGACCAGGGTGCGGCATGCTTCACAATGGATTACCTTAGCCATGTGAAAACATTCACATAATCATAGACCTCTGAATACGGCTTACAGAGATTTATGAATATTTTGAAGGGACACATCAACAAAATAACAAAATAAGACCGAAATTTGCGCTGACCATCACCAAAATCCCGTCCAAGCTCCGTACTTCCGAAAACTGATAGCTTTCCACGGATCAAAGCATTTGAACAAACATGCAGTGACGGTGGCAGCCATTTACCGTTTCGTGGCTTTTTCAGCACACATGACTGACCAGCATTGACTCAACGCTCAGCTGCGGCCGCAGCGGGGGGGGGGGGGGGGCGGGGCAGTGGGGGGTCCCCAGTCAGTCACACATCACAGAGGAGGCAGACGGGACACAGACAGACCAGTGCCCGTGTAAGCAGTGACGACACGCTGTGAGCTGGGAGTGAGGGACGACTTGGTTTGGTGGGACAGTGAGTTAGTGAGTGAGTGAGTGCGGTGAGCAATTGTGAGTTCATTCAGTCAGCTAGCTCATCGACAGCCACAGAGGCGACGCGTTACGGCGGCAGTAAGTGCAAGCGTGGTACTATCATCGCAGAAAGTCAAAGCGACGCCGGCTGCAGAAGCCAACTACACGCCAGTAAGATCGATATGCCCCACGCTAACTGCGCGGAGGGGCGGCTGTTCTTACCTCCTCATTGCCTCTTCCAGCATGAGCGGGACTCCGCGACTTTTCCAATTTGATTCCGTCCACGGTCGTCTTTTTATAGATGGGGTTATCGATGTTACGGAAGCCACGGAACCGACTCGGGTCCATACGGTACATCATGTAAAGGAGCTGTAATCGAGACAACGGGACGACGTCGTGAGCTCGCAGTTCAATTCTGCAAACACTGGTCTTTGAATGGCGTATTTATCCGAGATTAAGTTCCATAGATATCGGGCTAGCATACAAGCACAAATAGGCTCCCACTACCTACCCTCCCCGACTGCCTACGCAGTTTCCAAAACTTTAACAATGCAAACAGTGCTTGGAACACATTGTGTACGTTGCTTTTGTGAAAACGTAGGCGTGTGCTATATTGATTCGTATTCCAGAGACCGGTGGTACACCGGGGAACTGACGAAGTCGTCCCACACTCACCCCGGCCACGACGATGAAGAGGAAGGCGATGCCGCCGATGACGACGCCGGCGATGACGCCATCCGAGGCGGACTCCTGGAAGGCGGATGACGACCCGCCATCGGGTGCCGTCTGCCGCGGGTGGGAGGTGACCTTGGGCGAGCCGATGGTCTTCACACCTGGGGACGGAACGGAGTGTCAGTCGTAACAGAAAGGAAGACGGTGCTGGGAGGAAAAGAAAGAGGCATGCAGGGATAGTGCGGGGGTAGAGTAAGGATACACAGATGCCGAGAGCGACAACGGTTCAACGAACTAGGGTCAGCGGGTTCGACTGGAGAGTTATCAACAAAACTAATAAAACTCGCGGCTGATCAAATACGGGTACATGAACTTCGGAAGATGATCGGAAACTTTAACGGAGGATGATACCAGCTGCCCTTGGACTCTACTCAGCGACTCATGAACGGTCAGAACTTTGGGGTTCACCGACACGTGCAACGACGACGAACTTCCTGAGAGAAGAATTATCCACCCCTCCCCAATGCCATCAAATCAGACCCCCAGTTAAAGCCGTAGGCCAGTGAACAATATATTCTGAGAGAGGTACACTCCGCTCCCCTCCAATAACAAATTAGTAATTAAACAAATCACCGGTATCCCAGTTAAGTGTCCAGTTTAGTATCCCAATTTATATCCAACACCCAGCAAATATGCATGCATTTATCCACATCCACATCCACAACCCGGCACCCATGCCGTACCGTCGCTGTCTGCCGGCGCCGGTTGCGTTTGTGGAAGGCCCACGGTGCTCTCCCGGCTGTCGTCAGGGGGTGAGCCGGACACCTCTCCCGATATAGCGGCGCGAGGACGTGGGGCCGGGGGACGGAAGCCCCACAGCTGCGTGGGAAGGTCGGTGACGGACGCAGAGGTGTCAGAGTGGAGGTGTGGTGCGGTGGCGTTTACTACGGTGGATACGGAGATACTATCCACAGACGGTGACGATTGCGACTCAGATGTCGCAGAGACCAGGGCTGAAGAGGATGGGGAAATGGGGGAGACAGACGCATCTTCTGAAGTTGGTAAAAGAGGATGAGAAAATGTGGATAATGGAGGGATGGAGGAGGCAGGCGGACCTTCCGTGGGAGAAAGTAAAGGGTCAGGAAATTGGAAGGAGGGGGAGGCATGCGCAACGTCTGACGCTGACGGTATATGACCCACGGGAGAAGAGGTGCTGCCGATGTGGCTTAGAATAGTGAATCGCGCCTCGGGATAAACCGTGGATTGCGCCTGCAGATGGGCGAATTCGGGGTGGGACTGAACGGCGAGGGCGGTGACGTTTGGATGGGTAACATCCAGTGTGGCTAGGGGAGAAACGGTCCTAAGCATGCCAGATGAGTGCGGCTCTTTTCCGTTGTCATGCGTTCCTGAAAGGGAAAATAAACGAGACATAACCATCCGGCCGAAAAAACAAACGCCCGATAATTACAGGGTAAAACGAACGTGCACGCATGCTTCCAGCAAACGTAACTAAAGTCAGGTACTTGTTACGATCACATGCGGCGGAACCTTACGCCACAATCAGAAACACCACGCCACCAGGACAGGTTTACCACACCATTTATATTCCAGCAAAAGACGGGAGGACAAAGTCAGTGAAGCCTGCTCTCCTCATCCAACTGGCGTCAGTACCCACGACCAAACCGTGCCGTATGCATTAATATTCACATGCGACATGCTGTAGGTGTATGCCTTGCCTCGGCAAACCCGTTCACCTCTTATTGTCAGTCCGTGAACCTCACAACCCTTCGCCACCAACCACCGTGACTTTAGTAACCTCTCGCCATCCCCAATGACCCGTGACCCCGTCCATTCCCCCACCGTGACCCCGTCTCCGCCACTGACCTCTCTCGGTACAGGTGAGACCATCCTGGGTCAGTCGCAGACCGGCTGGGCACGCGCAGCCGGTCCGTCGGCCGCCCTGCTCGCCGCTCGCCGGTGCCGGCAGACAGAGGTGCGAGCACTGGCCGTTGATGGGTAGACAGTGGTTGGTGCCGTTCGGCTGACGGTACGGGTGGTACACGCGCACAACCAGCGGGAACTGAACCTGTGGGACACGGAGAAGACGCGGAGGGTCAAACACGGAACGGCAGGGTACCGTGTATACTGTATACGGTACTGCATTGCATAGAAATCGTCTTCAAACACCAAAAGCTCAAGAAAAGTCGTGTTTACAGATTGTGGAGGTAGGTGCCTCAAATATGCATAACCAGACGACACTGACTGCAGAAGTCAAAATCGTTACGGCCTCTTACCTTGCCGGTGGGAGCCACGCTGGTGACAGCCGAGCCGGTGAACTTGTTGGCTTTGAAGAGACTCATCTTGTTCCAGTCACTCCAGAAGATAGAGTCCTCGAATGTGGTGATGGCGAACGGATGGTCGAGCGTGTTCCCGCTGCTGATGATGATGCGCCTGTTCGCTCCGTCCAGGTCGGCGCTCTCGATCAGCTTCAGCTTGGCGTCCACCCAGTAGATGCGGCGCTTCACCAGGTCTAGCGTGACGTCGTTGGGCCACTGGAGGCGCGTGTCGGCCACGACCTGACGACGGCTGCCGTCCATTCCGGCGCGCTCGATCCGCGGGTTCTCGCCCCAGTCGCACCAGAACATCCAGCTGTGGAGGTGGAGGACGGGTGGCGCGTGAGCAACGTCTAAACGGAGGCGTACCGTGATCAGCAAACGTTCAACAATATACAGAAACATTATGACCGAACGAATAACATATGAACCCGCTTAGTGTTTTCATGTCTGTCAGCTGCGGGTGATTGGAAGGAAAATAGTATTTTTATCGACCGTGTGTTTTATCTAGCATTATCCATTTACGCACCGATGAGTTGATACCACTGAATCCGCGACTAGACATCGACATCAAAATAACCATAGACTTCTCTCAATAATATGTAGAGAAGTCTGTGAAATAACCAATCAGCACAGCCCACATTGCATAATCTAAAGCCAACTCACCCTTCGATGGGTTCGACAGCGATGGAGCGCGGTTTCATCAGGTCCTTGCTGATGAGGGTGGCGCGGTAGTTGCCGTCCAGGTCGGACACCTCGATGCGGTGGTTGTCCTTCTCCACGTGGATCCAGTAGAGGTGGCGGTAGAGCCAGTCGACGGCCAGACCCTCGGCGTTCACATTCCGTACGACCACCGTCCGCTCCGCTCCCTCGTCAATCGGCGCTCTGTGAGACGAAGGAAATGTAATGTCAGAACAAGGGTCACGTAGCCATCGGAGATCATCGACTCATCGACTCAACGGATCAATCGTGACTCACACGCGCCAGCAGAGACAGAACTAAGAAGTGACACGTTGCTGCAAAAGTTCTGCAGCGCTGTAGGACACCACATGGAGCATCCGCTCTAGGGTGGCGTCGAATTTCCCAGGGTTCGTGACAGGAGCCCAATATTCGGTCACGACACAAAGCAGTGATTGTAACTTAGTTGGAGTCAGACACGTCAGGAGTCCACCCGGTCACGCCATTTGGGTTAAACACGCCCGTTTCTAGGACAGTGTAGACATCAACGAGCACTGGCTACAGTCACGGACAGCTTCTGTCATCCACAGGCTCGTTGGATGTGCCCCTAGGATGTGAGATTAGGACATATCACAAGATGTTTGATGTTTGACAGCGCGGCGTAGAAATGTCTGGAAATGACATCACTCGCATACCCTCAGAAAGGAGGCCAACGCAGCTAACAGCATAAGACTGATCTGAGAAGACATCAAAGCCGTGAATCTAACTCAACTAACGCGGTCTTCTCGGGGATGAATGACTGAGCAACTGATCTCATACAGCAAATCTCAGCTCTATCCACAAAAGACAGTCATAAGAGACACCATACCTCATATGACACCGACTGATTTCCCGGAGGCGGAGACCGTGGCAGCGTTGCGTGACGCCTCCCATCTAATACCACCGTCACATCAGACACTGCTACCACTGCTCAGTATCTCCAATCCCTAACCTCCCTCTCCATCGTTAGACGGCCACCATCGCTCTCCTGCACGGCGTCTCCTCTCATTCTTCACAGCGCTCCCATCGACTCGCCTCCGCGCACCAGCGCCCCGCCGGCCCATTACTGTAATTAACACCGGACCGGCTCTATCTAACGCCGCAGCCGTGGCCGCTGTACCGAGTGACCGACGGCCGACGGACCGCCTCACCCGGAGCCCGGACAAACCGATCAGAGCAGAGGCAATTATAGCCAGTCAGCCCGCAGGCCAGGTCGGACCGTCCGCCGGTGTATCAGCGGAACGTTGTGATACCTCCGTGGGCGCGACTGCGGCTGTGTCACACCAGACGGTATGTATCTGCTCAGCCGGGATGGGCCGAGCTGAAGCGACATTACGTTCCCACTCCCCCGGGGGTGTTCTCGACGACACGGCAGCGGCAGTGCGTCATCACCCGTCACCCAGAAATCCCATTACGGTGGCGACGGCGGCAAATACGCTCCCCAGACGCCGCTTCTGCGGGCGCAGCTGACGCCGCGGGGCTGCCGCAGCTCTGTCAGACGACTGCGCCAGCTCCCTCCAAAGGCGGTCCGAGCCGCGACAGCTCCAACGCTCCATTGCGCCCGGCCAGCAAAAAGTGGCCGGTGCCATTCGTCAGGACGGCCTCAGATTGGCTCGGCGCTCGGTCGGCCCTCTGCGACCGGACGCGTCTCGGCCGAGCGGTCAAGACGGACGCAAGCGTCGACGAGCCCCCTCCCCTGCCTAACTCTCTGAGGAACTCACTTGTAGATGGGACAGTCACCGAGCGCCCCTTCCACAGCCCAACTCTCTGAGGTTCTCACTTGTAGATGCGGTTGTCGCTGAGTGCCCCCTACCACTGCCCAACCCTCTAAGGAACTCACTTGTAGAGGCGGCTGTCGCTGAGTGCCCCTCCCACCGTCTAGCTCTCTGAGGAACTCACTTGTAGATGCGGTTGTTGCTGAGTGACCCCTACCACCGCCCAACCCTCTGAGGAACTCACTTGTAGATGCGGTTGTCGCTGAGTGCCACTCCCCCCGCCTAACTCTCTGAGGAACTCACTTGTAGATGCGGTTGTCGCTGAGGTCCGACCAGAACACCATGCCGGTGCGGAACTCGTAGTCGACGGCCGTCGCCACACGGGTGTTGTTGACAATCTCTGTGATCTCACGCTGGTACAGGCCCACCTTCCGGATATCGGTCCTGAGGGCACACGGTCAGATGGGTTAGCCAGCTGTTTAACATCCACAGCGCAGTTTTACCGAAAATATATTCTAAATAAAATACAGCAGCACAGGGCGATAGAAATAGAACGGAATATTGGCAAAGAGATCAGAGAGGCATCATTTCCAGTGAGTAGTGGGCGCGATGCACCTGATACCATTGCTAACATCGCATCCCGCGACGCAAGGATTGCCCGCAGCTGAACACTTACCAGCTGAACAGGGCAGAGCAGAGCGGGGAGGGAGAGAGCTCTCGGAAATCCGTGCCTAACGGGGGCGTGCCGTGGGTGTGACCGACAATCGGCACCAGTTGTCCGCCTGTCAGGTGGTGGCTATAATCACACCCCCGCTCGCCGGGCCGGCCAGTCGGTCAGCCGGACCACAGCTGTGTCTGACTGCTCAACTGGAGCCAGCTGTCAGGCTGCCGGCTCACGGCCCGGCAGATATACCGCTCACAGGAGCCGATTGAGCCAGCAGGACCTCCACCGCCGCTGGCCGCAGTCCAGCCCTAAATCTCAGCCCGGCTGGCCGGCGGTCACTATCGCTAACAACATCCCTGGGCCTGACGCGGCGCCGTCATCCATTACTGCAGACCGACATGACAAAAACAGAGCTTCCCTTACACGCTTCCATCTAGGTCGCCTCCTCAGCAAAAACTTCTTTTGAAGTCGGGTCTCATTTAGCGCCTTTGCTTTGTGGTACAACGTGACTATAATAACAAAGCACGCGTCAGTATCAGAGGTAGACACGAAAGCCTCCGGCGCCCAAATTAGTTCATATATTGTTCCTGTAAAGATTGCGGGATGAAGGGAACCAGCGCACAACGGCACTGGTTAGCAATGGCAAAAAGACATGGCTACCTGTAGTACATGAGCGTCTGCATTCACGACAGTCCGCGTACTAATGTGGAAATTCCACAGAAATATTTATATTCATTCGTGGAATATTGACTCTGGCGGCAATGCCCAGAGTGCATTCAGCAGAGGAAATGAGAACCGAAAGAGCTTTTCACAAGCTGATGAAGCTGCGTAACTTTGAGCCTCTAATACATTACCTATATATTTACAATCGGACACAAAGAACGGAAATTGATCATTTTAGATCTGAGGGTATTTTATGCAAATAAAAATCACCCATAGCGCAATCATATAAAGTAAATTCGTACAAATTTTAATTAAAGGACAGGGAGCCTCAGCAATGACACCACCTGACGAGTGGTAACCGACCTGACGACAGAATCCGCACCAGATTCAATTAACAGATAAAGGTCTCCAGTCGTTGGCACAGACTCCTGCACTTGAACCGACCCAACCACGTAGCCAGCGGTGCCATTCAGCCCAGCGAAGCGTTCTGAATCCCCGCGGCATCGGACAGATCTCTGCAGTGTCGGGCTCAGGGCCGTTCCAAAAATACCGCCTCTCGGTAGTCTGACCTGCCGGCCGCCTCCCCGAATCACTCCATTACAGATGCCCGGCGGTGCACCGTGCAGTACCCTTCCACGCGCCCTGCCGATCAGGGACCCGGCGGCCGGGGGTTAATCAGAGAGCGTTCGGCGCCGTGGACGGCCGCGTGACGCTGGATGTATGGCCGACTGAGCGGTAAATCACGGGCACACGGCCGATTGGCCCCGGGGCTAATTAAGACGCCCGGCGCCGGCGGCCGGCATTGCCGACCAGCCGACCGGACAGGTCTGGATCAGCGCGGAGCGATCAGACGCCTCAGGAAATGCACGGTTCGACTAGACTTAAAGTGCAGAGAAATAGGAAGAGGCAAGACCTCAGTGGCAGCAGTGGGTTTCCAGGAATACCAATAATACGTTAGAAACTTTTTCAATCCATTCAGCTTCTACCCAAGGGACTACCCAAAGTTCCCCCCTCACTTTCGCAGACTTTCTGCGGCTGCAGGTATTTCTCTCCCTCCCCAGAGGTTTGACGAAGTAATGACTGCGCCGATGACTTCTCCAGCTGGCTCGGTAAATCACCCAGATAGCGCCGATTGGCCATCAGAGCCCGCACTCGGCCAGTCGGCACATCCCGCTGAGACCGGCGCCAGGCCCCGTCGGCAGACAAAGTTACTCACTCAGCTAGGCGCCGCCAAACAACCGTGGCCATGGCCGTCGCAAAGGTCGGCGCGGCCAAGTTGCCGGCCGAGATTGACGGTACGATGCCGGTTTGTGCCTCGGCGCCGACGGCTCGGCCGGTCATCGATCTCACCGCGCCACCGGAACAAAGGTTACGACTTCCGAGCTCCATCGGCGGCGGAGCGGCAGAGGGGCGCCACGGAGCACCGTGATGGACCGCAGAGACGTGGGCGGCGAGCGGCAAGCCAAGAGTGACGAGCGGCGCCGACCATCCATCCACCCACCTGCTGCCGAGTCCGACCCACCACCACCCGTCCCTTCTGAGGTCTATCGACCATCCCACACTTACATGTGAGTGAGCAGTAGTGATGCGTGCACTTCCACCGCCTTGCAGAACGTGTGGTCGGCCGGATCACGCATGTATCCCTCGAGGCACTCGCACTTGTACGATCCCTTGGTGTTGATGCAGGTCTGGCTGCACGACCCGGGGATCTGGCACTCGTCAATATCTGCCGCAGGAAGAGAGGGGAGAGTTAGATCTCATACCAATGGGAGAGACGATAGCTTGTTTGTAGAGTCAGTGCTGTGAGCGCGGCGGACTTGTATGTATAATGTAACCAGATAACGTCAACGACGGCTGTGATATCAATGTCAATGGCCGGAAACCGTATCATCTATTCTGGTTTTAATTAAACTGCGACACAAATCGCCGTCCGGGGTAACCTAAACAAAGCCAGACACTTAATCCGCACAGCACTGACAGATAATTGCGGAAGATGAAAGAGGTGCAAAATTGCATTGCCAAATCCAAAGTAATGTGTTATATCTCATACGATTCGCGCAAATTCTAGCAGAAGGACACGATTAATCTAAACTGAACGGATAGCACGGGCAGCTTGTGTATCAAACATCTAACAGGTAATTGTTCGTCTCCCGCGCGCCGTCGTTCGTCTCCGTCGTGCCACTGACCGTCACAGGTGCGCTGGTCATCCATGAGCCGGTATCCACTGGGGCAGTAGCACTTGTGTCCGACCGGTTGGTTGCGGCAGCCGTGACTGCAGCCGCCGTTATTCTGCGAGCACTCATTGAGCTGACAGAGGTCACTCTCATCCGAGCCATCGCCGCAATCGTCCGAGCCGTCACACGCCTGCTCGATCTGCACACAGCGACCGTTCGCACAGCTGAACTGCTGGTCTGGGTCGCAGGGCGGGGTCACCGCTGAAACAGAGAGGGGACAGAGGTCAGCGGAGAGGTCACGCGGCCAGACACCGCCGCCGGTGAGGGAGAGGTCGTAGCCAGCCACCGGGAGTCGGCAGCGGTCATACAATCACGGTCAGATGGCCGGAATGAGCAGTGAAACGCTCTCAGACGGCAGCCACTATCCGACACTGTGGCGCTCCCAACTCGGTCCGAGTGTCCATGGACAGGAGGTTTATCACCTAAGCGACCACAGACACCACGTTAACAATGCCAGGTCCGCCACGGAACCGCTCTGGAAGTGTCCCGCCGAGTTTAGGGCGGCGGTAACGGACTCTGCCGAGCACCAGCAGCGGACGTCCACTAAGACACTGCAGTCCACTGGCCGGGGCCGGGGCTGGGGCCGGGGCCGGGGCCGGGCCACAGCCTTTGTTTGCGGCTCGCCGGCGCCGGCCGCGGCTTCCAGTCCATTTCAGACGGCTGACGTGAGCGGCCAGCCGAGCTCGGTTTAAAAAGACGGTGACAGCGGCGCCGGCGGACGGATCCGGTGGCTATCGCCGGCGGCTCACACAGCCCACTCCGGGCGGACGGACAGAGGATCAGGGGCGCACACCCGCCGCGGGGATCTGCCTTACAGCCCGCCGCTGAGCGCCGTGAAAAGCCAGCCTTCGACACCGGAGAGCCGCCCAGATAGGTCAGCATTCGGCACCGAAAGGTCAGTCATAGCGGCAGAAAGGAGATACAGAGAACAGCGGCCGAAAGATAAGCCGGGCATGAGCGATGACACAGAGATGGTCGACTCATGAGTCCATTCTCTCGGCATATATGAGTCATATTATCCGGTATAGAGCTCGTGGGCTCATATCCCGTCAATGGCATCGCATAACTCACCGTAGCCAACAAATCTGAATTATTCCACACCATTGAGACCATATTACATCTCCCGAGCAGCGAGTCGCAGAGGGGACGGAGAGCCGGGTGAGGAGGAAAATAATGACAGGGGACTGGCAAACAGTGGTCGGGGATGGAGTGCGGACCGGGATATGGGTGAGAAGACAATGTATCTGTGGTGGTGGAAGCAAGGGAGAGGGGAGCTCAAGAGAGCTCTACCTAGAAAACAATGGAGAGCCCTGCCGATCTCCGAAGAGGAAGGGCGCAGCGATGGCGGGTCTACTCATGGACATATATCTTGACAGTCTTAACAATACAAAAAATTGAAAAAAAACACAAACATATAATTTTAATCATGAAATAAGCAACTCACTGCAGTTGGCCTCGTCGCTGGCGTCGCGGCAGTCGGCTGCACCGTTACAGACCAACTTCCTGGCGATACACTCGGACACGCCGCCGCACTGGAACTCTCCGTCCCGGCACACGGGCGGGGTGCACCTGTCGGGTCAGGGCGGGTCACGTGAGGTCAACTGAGGTCACGGAGTTTAACTCCCCGTCTCGGCACACCGGCGGGGTGCACCTGTCGGGTCAGGGCGGGTCACCTGAGGTCAACTGAGGTCACGGAGTATAACTCCCCGTCCCGACACACGGGCGGGGTGCATCTGTCGGGTCAGGGAGGGTCACCTGAGGTCAACTGAGGTCACGGAGTATAACTCTCCGTCTCTGCACACGGGTGGGGTGCACCTATCGGGTCAGGGAGGGTCCCCTGAGGTCAACTGAGGTCACGTAGTGAAATCTGCATTAGCGACACACTGGTGGAATGCACCTACTGGGTCAGGGCGGCTCCTGTGAGATTACTTCAGGTCAGACCATTAACCACCACCTCTGATGTGAATACAAAGACGTAGATACATTTAACGTATACATTTTACGTATTTAACGTAGCCACGCGACTCTGACGAGCAATATGCAAAGGCTACCTCAAAGTGAACTTTAATGCAACCTCATAACCTCATTGGACCATGATGGAATTGCGAGAGTTAATGCCGGTAAAGTCATTATTGCATACAGTGCCAGTCAACAATGCCATTATGAACAATTGATGACGCAATTTTCACATTTCGGTAATTTCAAGTTGCGTTTATCACCGCTAATCCCAGCAGAATAATTAACCGGCTAGACTGACGGTCCGCGGGCCCATGAACTAGAATTATTCACGAGCTGGAGACTCCTGCAATATAGCAGCCGCGTCCCTAGTCTTCCCGAGGACCGAGCGGCCAACTTTCCGTGACACAGGCGGTCGCTACCGCCCCCGGAAGTTGTTCAATTACTGGCTACAGCTCGGATCGCCGGAAAAGTTGATGTGCGGCGGTATATCTGGTCGAATTTGTAGTCCCCAGGCGGGCGGCGGCAGCGGCGTTCCGGGCCGGTGGCTCCCTGGTCTGAACACTAACGTCGACAAATATCTTGGCCACTGGCCAGTAGAGTGCCTGTCGACTCAGAATCGGACCGCGGCCCCAGCTTGTCGAGCAGCCGGGCTTAATTCCTACCTCCGTCGCGCCGCCGGTCGGGGGGACGGCCGTGACAGGGCTGCGAGTCCGACTAATTAGCGTTAGAGGCGGCAGTTCAGAGGACCGCGACTGACCGCCGACAGTCACACATATCACAGAGAGCTCACGAGCTCAGCGCCGCCGGACTCGTCAGCTAGGCCAGCGCCAAAGGCAGACCACGTCATCCCCGAGAGGAAATCGGGCCGACGAATAGTTCGGAACGAACATTGATTTCCATTACAGATTTGGCCCCAGAAATAAAGTTTCACTCGCAGCCACTTAATTTTGCTAATAAGCCTCTTGGCCTCGTCCTTTGCAGTATTCACCGAAGTAAATTGCCTAGACGAAAGCCTTCCTCTTAATTATACATTCAGCGTCGTAGCTATTTCTGCACAGATATTGCCAGCATTATGCAGTTTTAATTTAGTTTCAAACAGAACCATGATAAGATGTCATGAAGAATGAGCTAATGAGTTGGTGAACGAAAGAGGAATGGCTCCAGGAAACCTTATTTTAAAGTCACAAGATCCACGTACCAAGAACTTATTCCAGATTCCACCATAAATTCGAAGGCCAAATGGGTTCAGAGATGTTGCCCTATATCTTCCAGGCCATGCAAAATACTGGCGCAAGCATTGGAAAGAGGTATTGGTGGAGCTTCCACATACTTCGAGTGAACACAAAAAAAAAACAGCGAAAGAATATGGACATACGACTGGCAGAGGGAAATGACAAAAGACACAGACCAGAAGGCCAGTGTCACAGTGTCACGTGTGAGGCCGTGCTGTGTCTTTGGCAGCCCCGAACAGTGTTAGAATCATCTGCCGTGTCCCGTGATAAATTGTCAAATGCCATCGTTTGGAAAGATGCGGTGATCGGTGACCTGTAACCTTTGAATGTCGCGTCGGGATTTTTGACGCCCAGATTGTAGATATCATCGGAGCGGAGCTCAGTAGCTGGATATGTTCGGTACTCACTTGGCGGGATCCTCGTCGGAGCCATGCGGGCAGTCCTGAGCGCCGTCACACATCCAGCTGCGATGAATGCAGGTGATCTGGTCGTCACAGAGTACCTCCCCCGGTGTGCATACGCTGCTGGGCACAGAGTGATCGTCCAGGATGCAGTCCTGTGGGAGAGAGCAGGCAGTGTTAGACAGAGAGCAGGTAGAGCGCGATGCAGCGTCAGGCACCCCGCGGAGAGAGCTGAGAGGAGTTAGTTATACATATACAAACACACCTCTCTCGGCTCCAGCGCCACTCGTTACGTCCTGTCTGGCACCACTCCTCCCTGGCATTCAGACAGGACTGGGGTAATCAGCCTTCTGTAGCCTGGTTAGGTGTGTCGGTGGGGGAGGGGGTCGATGGGGGGGGGGGGGGGGGGGGGGGTAGAGGGGGGCAGGTAGCGGCGGCCACGGCAGACGAGCTCCGGTGAGCCATTACAGCGCCGTGGCGGCAAACACCTCATTAGCCAGCGCCAGGATAACTGTTCCTACCGCCGGGAAAAGGGGAGGTGGTGCGGAGATTATCCCAGGGGAGGAGGAAAAGAGCACACTGAGTGTACCCCAGGGGAGAGACAAGGGGAAGCACGGCCGGCCATAACCATATACGGCTGCTCACGGCCGAGTATATAAAGCAGAGCACTGAAGTTCGGTCCAAGAGTCGCGAACTTCGACGACGCTATCAGCCACAGCCCGACATAATTTCGTCCGCATGGCAGCTGCGGCCGAGTTTAAAACGGTTCGTTGTTTCTAAAAACATCACCCTCAGATGCTTCTCCCAATTTTAGCCACGAGAGACCAACATTTTTCAACCACAAACGGGAAATCCATAGCCAGAGTCCTATTACCCATGCATTGCCTTCTGGGCGAATCTAAAGTAAGCCGAATCCTTTTGCTGGCTGCATCTGTATTCAAGAGGATTCGAACATTTGCTATATGGTTTATCATGATGCCGGCGCACGGCGTAAGCGAACAAATAAATCACCACCCCTGGCAGGCATTGACATCAGTGATGGATATGATACGGGCTCAATTTCCATTTTGGAGTTGGAGCGTGTAATGAAAATCGTTCCAGAGACAAATTTACTCGATGACTATCGCTGGCACCAAGGTCAAAGTCTGAAGTCGATGGTGACGCCGTCGCAGCAATGCATAAACTTAGGAATAGAGGAATTTTTTACATTTGCACAGTTCAAAATTCGTCGTAAAATTGATCAGTCATCACATAAACGGGCCCGTTTGATTGAGGCTAACCAAATAAAATGGTGAACAGCCACACCAGCATCTTAACGAAGGAACTTGTTCACAATCCTTTCATACACCAAACGAATTTGGTCCCAATTACACGACGCTACACACCGAGAAAAACAGGCCTAGTCGTGAAAACGTCAAAGGCCGGAAAAACTAGTGCTGAAATGAGCCCACAAACTTTCTGGGACGTAATTCATTCCAAACTCATTGCAACCAAACTGAAACAGGCCGAACTTTGGGCCGGAGATATTTCACAAACAAGGACGCTCGATTCGCGGAAGGTGCGCCACCGAGCTCCGAGGAGCCATTAGAGATAAACACCGCAGATGGGAGGTCGCGCCGTGACTGGATTTCAGCCGACTCGGCACTTTTGCGCCTCCTGACCTGGATACGCCACCCCTTACACAGCACCGGCCGCAAATACCGGCGAAAAACAACACGAAATACTCGTAGAGCGCACAGCGCTGAAGTCACACGAGATAAAACTACAAACGTAAAAGAGATAAGGGAGAAGTAAGAACACACAAACGCTTGAATCTAATATTGTTTGTGCGAAACATATTACAGCTGCACTATTGCAAGTCTCAATCGATCGCTCATATGACGATAAATCGCATTTACACGTAATGTGGTCAAGGTCATATCTCTCTAAGCCGTATATATAGAGGAGCCTTTTCAATATCTCATCTCTTTGACAGCACGGGTGCTGCTTATGTCCTTTTTCTTGTTCTTTTTCCTTTTTTAGAGATGCACCACGACAACATCGTCGTCTCTCACCTTCTCATCGCTTCCGTCGTGGCAGTCGCGGTCACCGTCGCAGCGCGCGCTCAGGTTGATGCACTCTCCGCTGGCACAGGTGAATTGGGAATCGGGGCTGCAGGTGGTCGGCTGAAACGGAGGAAGAGAGACACGGTCAGAAGCCGAGACGCGCTTCTTCTGCATGAGACGGCATACTGTGGCAACAGACGGTACATCGCTGGGAAAGAAGCCATCAGACGGCGAGACAAATAAGACTGGATCGTTCTGTCTTCTCTGGCTTTCGTGTATCTTTTTAATAGGGCTAATTGTTTCATATTACGGTCATTAAGGTTGGAGCTAAAAGATAGGACCATCGTCCTCTTCCCAGAAACATCATTTTGCCCAGACACGCGCATTTCGGTGCCCGCCCACTATCTCAGTATTCCTCCTCTTCGGGACGGCCGGCGAGCAGAGCTCGGCCGGCAGACAGACCATTTCGCCGCGGCATCTCCGGAGCTGAACCCAATCTGCCTGCACGCCCATATGCAAATAGGCCATTCTCGGATTATTACTTCGGCCAAAGAGCTGGCAATGATGGCGCAGAGATTTTCAATTCGCCGCAATAGGCTGGGAGCGTGCGGGCTCCGGGTCTGGGGCAACATTCAATAACATTACGATGGGAGCTTTGAGCCGGCCGGCACAGGCATTCGGCATTTTACATTTCTCAACATTTCACATTTCATTTTGCAAGACAGATGGTGCCGGCAAATGTGGCTCATAAGGCCAACTGATGAAGGTCTCGTGTTTTTCTCTCTCTTTTGGGCCAACTGAAAACAAGCCAGACTGTCGCTAGACGTGACGAATTTCGTCGGAAACAGAGAGAGTAAATTCGAAGGAGACGCGTCTCCGGAAGGAAACACCCGAGCGACAGCCGTGACAAACTCGACTGAATAAATACGAGCTCCGGTGTCTGAGACATCTGTCCTAGCGTCATCTGCGCGCGGAAATGAGGGAGAGGAGCACCACGGACGACAAATTGGACAGGGTCGACCGTCACACTAGGAATGCAAATATGGGTGATGAATTTAGGGGCATATGAAGAAAAGGGCAACGAGGCGCATACCTACATCGTCGAAAGTCACGTACTAAAAAGTGAAAGAGAAAACACTTTGCTCGTAAGAACCAAAAATGCCTGATAATAATGGAAGCAGATACGGTGACTGGTTCAAAAGTAAAAAAAGTAAATATATGCTAAAAAAAAAATAGCCGACACCATGGAAGCAGATTAATTAGATGGATGATTTAGCCCGTTGGAGACAATGTCATAGCTCCAATCTAACCCTAGCCACACTCACCATGCTCTCACCACTCTCTCTCCCCTCACTACTCTCACCTTGCAGTCCTGCTCGTCGGAGCCGTCCTCACAGTCGTTCTCTCGGTCGCACACCCAGCGCTGGTTGATACAGCGGCCGTCACCGCAGGTAAACTGGTCGGCTGGGCACGTCTGAGCTGTGGACGGAGCGGGCAGGGTCAGAGGGGGCACACCGGGCCTCGAACGGGTGCTAGGGAGGGAGCATAGCACGTCTCATAACGACCAGCATACAGTGGACTATACAGTTATACATACAGTTGAGCTTTATCGTGACCGAGAAGCATATTTGGCCAAATGACTGTGATTAAATTAAAAGAGTAATATAAATATCTGAATCACAACCACCAATGCTATATGAACCTACAAGGCTGCATGTGCATTTAAAAATGGCATATTATAGTCTACATACCGTGATGTATCCGATCACATGCATTTACGGGAGAAAATACCGGGCCTTATGCATTTCATCACAGTGATAACATCAGCCTCAGAGTGCAGAAAAAAACTTAATATCAAACATCCGAGCATAAACAACAGCGCTGGCCATGAGAGGCGAGCGGTCGATCGGTGTCAATGGTTCCGACAGGCGGGCCTGGCCCGGACAGAACCCGACCCTCGAGACCAGCCTGCTGAATACCACGCAGGCAATGCATAGAAATGTTTGGCCACAGCGGCTGCACGGGAGCGCCAGCCGCGCGATGCGATATGCATTGTAAAACCCGATTTATTGTATCATTTTGTTGCGATAAACCGGAATTTCAAAACATTTCAGGTTATTACATCATCTTATGATGCAATAAATTGAAATGTCAGGATTTAACGTGAAAGGTCGGGAAAAAAATTTACAGCGACATCTGAGAACGTTGTAATAAATCGGGTTTATTACCTCACGCGACTTGCACAGATTTTGAACAAAGTGGAAAGACGTCGCTGTTCTGATATGAAGAGCTACCATATTTGAAAATCACGATTTGAATATCCTGTTTATTTGAACATTTGCGCAGGGCATTTCCCTATATGGCCTCTTTCAGCTTAGGCCAAAGTGGCGCACAACCTGTTATGCAATGCAGCATGCATCTGCCATTTTGTATTTATATACACTGTGCCATTTTGCACCCATTTTGAAGTGAAGTTACTTCGATTACTTCGGAGGGTGTGGACGTGGAGTTGGTGTCAGTGTGGAGGTTATGTTGATGTTGCAGGTAAGTTTTAGGGTTTTCATTGTTGAATGTTGATTCAATCGCAATTCAACTTCGGAAAATATTAATAAATTTATGCAATATCCCCATGCAGACAGCCATCCTTTGCAAATTTACCCACCAAACTAAGCAACCAGATGCAATCAAATACCTACTGATTAAATGCTCCATAGAAACCAACTGAATTTAATATTTTAATTCAAACTAAGTAGGTATGCTAGTTAACAATTGAATGACTTTACCTTTGATGGTATTGGGCTGGGTCCAATGTTTTACATGATAATAATATCTGCATGATATGGGTACCTATTGGGTATTGATGTTTCGGGGCTTCGTAGGGGTAGTAGTAGAGCAGGCGTCACACTTCTTTTCGCAACCAAGGAGAGGCGCTGTAGGTACTAGGTTAGGTTGTAGATTTTAGGTGGTTTAGGTGGTAGATTCTAGGTTGTAGGTTGTAGGTAAGGTTAGGTTCAGTTTGGTTTGGTTTGGTTCGATAAGAAAGCAACTTTGGGTAGAGCGCCTTTCCTTGGTTGCAAAAAGAAGTGTGACGCCTGCTTTACGACTACCTTCGTAGATAACCTGCATGGTTAAAAAACTTAAACAATTTTGTTTTTACTGCCTGTAATCATTTTATTATTTACATTAAGTTGTATGGATAGGTTCTGAAATCATGCTTACAAAATGTCATTTGTATTTCTTACCCCATCAAAGAAGATAAATGAAAATCTAGCAATGGCTCGGAATGCTCGGAATTGCCTTTAAGAAATCCACTTAGCTCTTGGACACTGCTGTTATTGCTATTTTGACATGTTTGGCCAATTTCTTAGTTGTGACTTATGCTACTGCACAAATTAATTGCTTACATTTTCTCCTTTACTAAATTAGCACATGGTCACTCCCTATATGCTTATAAATTTGGCATTGGTAGGGCAGACATAGCACGAGCTACCATATGTGATGCTGTAGATTGTAGGTTTTAGGTTGTAGGTTGTGGTTGTAGATTGGGTAATTTCTTCCAGTGATTGAAAGACTTTACTTTCGGCGAATTAAACTTTGTGATTGTTGTGGGCTGTGGCTGGGTAATGCTTGTTTTTGTTACATTACATTTATTTCTAACTCAGTGGACACTTAACTTTTGACTGGCATGCTATCGTTATGGGGTTTACCCATTGATTTCAGTTTCCCTGAAAAGTGAGTACAAAATTATATTTTTTTCTATGATGAGTACTGAGTACAAAAATCTTTGGTGTCTGGAGACACCAATCAGCGGCAACTTTTGCAACACTGGAACATAGGGTACACCAATGGTGGGCAGGTGGGTAAGTGCCCACCCACTTTTCGAGTGGGGGCCAACCATGTGTTTTGGCCCACCCACTTTTTACTCTAGGCCCTCGTCTCGATTTGAGAGGACGTCGTCACCTCCCATAATAAACAAACTTGGTAAAAATAAGTTCCACGAATCCCCACGCACGGACTCCAAGGGGCCGTGATGGATCCAAGGAGGCCCTCTATTCATACTTGACAGTCGAAGCGCCTGAGACTGATGGCCTGAGAGGCCCTAGTGGATCTGAGGAGGCCCCAATATCCACACTGGTCTGGGGAGGCCACTGACACCGGCGGTCTGGGAGGCCCCTTTATCCACACTAGTCGGAGGTCTGAGACTGGTGGTCTGGGAGGCCCCTCCCCTCCATCCACACTAGTCAGAATAGGCCCCTGACACTGGCGGTCTAGCCGAGGCCCCCTACCCTCACTAGTCAGAGGAGGCCCCTCTATCCTCAATAGTCAGAAGAGGCCCCTGAGACTGATGGTCTGGGAGGCCTATCCATCTACACTGTAGTCAGAGGAGGCCTCTGAGACTGATGACCTGAGAGGCCCTTATAATCACACCAGGCAGAAGAGGCCCATGAGACTGATGGACTGAGAGGCCCTTCTATTCATACTGGCCACAGGAGACCCCCCAAAACTTTCTGTCTGGGACTGGGAGGTCCCTCAATCCGGCACCAGTCTGAAGAGTCCCCTGAGACTGATGGCCTGGGAAGCCCTTATATTCACACTAGGCAGAGGAGGCCCCTGAGACTGATGGTATGAGAGGCCCTCATATCCACACCAGTCAGAAGAGGCCCCCGAGGCTGATGGCTGTGAGGCCCTTCTGTTCATATAACTGGCCACTGGAGGCCCCTGAAACCGGTGGTCTGGGAGGGCCCTCTATCCAAACTAGTCAGAAGAGGCCCCTGGGACCGATGGTCTGAGAGGCTCTTATATTCATACTGGCCACAAGAGGCCCCTAAGACTGATAGTCAGAGAGGTTCACTCCTAATGAATCTGAGGGGGCCTTCTATCCACATTTACACTTTTCTAGGGAGGCCCCCGAGACTGATGGTCTGAGAGGCCCTTTTATTTATACTGTCCACAGGAGCCCCCTGAGATTAATGGTCTGAGAGGCTCTTCTATTTATACTAACCAGAAGAGGCCCTAGGATTGATGGTCTAACAGGCCCTTCTATTTATACTAGCCAGAGGAGGCCCATGAGACTGATTTTCTGAGAGGCCCTTCTATTCAAACTAGGCAGATGAGGCCCCTGAGAATGATAGTCCGAAGAGCCAGGTGGCGGCAACTTGCCGTGGCCATATTTCGGCTCGGTAGAGCCCCACAGAGCACATGAGAGCACCTCAAGGGGTCCTAAGTAGACACGCTTATTCCCATAAGGGTGCCACGCCGGCTTCTGAAGGCTCCTTGTAGGCATCTAAGGGCCCTTTCCGGCCTCTAACGGCTCCACCCGCCTGTGATGGCTCCACACCAGTGTTTATGAGCGCCACACAGCGGCGCCTTTGAGGGTCATACTAGTGTCTCTTAGGGCCCTATATCGGTGGCTCTGGGGGCCCCACACCGGCGCCTCTGTGGGCCACCACACCTGTGCATCTCAAGGCTCTATAAGTACATATGAAGGACCCACACCGACACCTCTGAGGGCCCCACACCAGTATCTCGGAGCTCTGAAGGCCCTACACCGGTGACTCTGAGGACTCACCGGCTCCTGAGAGCACCATGTTGAATGTTGATGTCTAACGGCTCCACAAGGCCACTGAAGGCACCACACAAGCCAAGCTCTCACTGAGCTCTAATGTCCATGTACCGGCCTCTGAGGGATTTAAGCCAGCGCATTCATAGCTCCACACCAGCAATTGTAAGGGCTTCACACTGAAGTATCTGAGGGTTCCACACCGGTGTCTCTAAGGGCCACATACCGGCATCTCAGAGGGCCCCATACCGGCGTCTCCGAGGGTCCACATCTGGCGGGCACCCATCATCGACTGAAGGTCCCGACTCCGAGAGCCCCATCTGCGTCTGGGAGTAACATGCCGTCTTAAGAACCACAGCGGCTCCTCTGTCGAAAGATGGGCGTCTGCATGCCAAAGGGGAGCGGTTCTGAGACAGTAGGGCACCTACGTGCAATAGAAGGGCGCCTATGAAGCCCTTAGGTGTGCCTTAATGCGAAAGAGGGGTGCCTCTGAGGCCTACATATATGGGCGTCCACATGCAATAGAGGTCTGCACTGCAATGGATCGATGCCATGAGGGTGCATTCATAAGAAACAGGGGCGCCGGCATGGCAAAGAGAGGCGCCTTCAAGTGTCCATAAAAGAGAGACGCCTATGATAAGCGCACATTGTATGCGACAACGGGGCGACTGTGGGACATATAGGGATGTCTCTGATGACTATACATAGGGCGCTTATATGCCAAAGAGGGCGCCTATAAAGCTAATGGGGCACCTGGGAAACGAGGAAGACATTTGTGTAAGGGTTTTCAGGGGTCATGCACCGTTCGCGGCATATAGATTCTAAAAAAAAAAATCGGAGGGAGAATAAGTTTTAAAAATGGTGCGGACTTCCCGCACTGTTCGCTGAAGCGGTTACGCCCCTGGGTACATCTGCTCGATCTCAGAAGCTAGATTTGGAGGTCATACTTGAAAGCAGCCGGCAGGACGAGGCAAAAGTTGGAGGCCCCTGAAAATAGGAGGCCCCCTGGAAAAGGAGGCCCCTTGACAGGGTGGCCCACCCACTTTTCATGACGTTCCTACGCCCGTGTTCCCATCAAAAGGTTCGGACTAAATTTATTTTTAAAAAATCAAATCAACATGACAAATAGTTGTTGGATTAACTATGCACGATGTACGTCAGACACGTACCCAGGATTTCGCCCACGAGGGGATCACCTGCTCTTGAAGGGGCCCGCGAGTCACCCGGGGGCCCGGGGTCAGCCCA